TATTACAAATATTTTGTGGAGGTAGACAAATCTACCCTTCCATCCTACCAATGTACTTACTTTCAGGCGTGTGCATTGACTGATAGACACAGTTTGAGGTGAAGAGATTTGGGAATTCATAATGCGTTTTGTGGCTAGATGCGCTCACACCGATTTAGCGGATGAGTATGTGTGAGACATTTCATTTGCAAACCCTATATCAATTCTCTCAGTGACATCGTCTCCTCTCAAGACCAGTCTTGGCAATATACACTTCTTTTTTTGAGCACTCTCCTTTACTTTCGCTTTCGTCGTATTTCTGGATGGACTCCAGCGGTTATTCACTACAATGTAGACATTCTTCAACCGACCTAATTTCGTTGTGTAGCACCTCTTCAGATCGAAGCCTCGATGCTCTTTGGTCTTTTACTCATCAAGTCCCTCTTACACTTTATATGGGCGAACACAAGCTATTAAAGTTCAACTACTGTCCACTCCATGTGGCTTTGTAGTGAATGCCCACTTTAGTCGTACCATTTTTCTTTCGCTTCCAGTGATCACGGCTGTTGAAGAGGTCGAGCAGCTCGCTTACTTGAGGCACATTTCGAAGGTGTCATCGTAAACCCTACGTAGAATGTGGCTGTATCGGTCCTCTTAATTTCAGATTGATTTCTCCTAAGCTAGCCATAAATATATCTCTGCTAATAAACACTTCTTTGGACCACTCATAGACACTCAACCAGTCGGCTGGTATCCTTTTTATTAGTGCACATTAGCAGGGGATACAACATTTCTGCTACACATAGAGGTATGTTATTCGACTATTGACGAACGATTTGGTTTTCTGGATACGTGTGCTCATGAATAAACATAAGACATCGTATAATGTCTTGGACTTTTCGAACAAGTTTGGCTCTATTCTATCGCCAAATTCAAGGGTTTTTGACATTTGCTGTACGAACCTCTTCTAATTTTTGTGCCAGTTTGTGACAGGGAAAATCGACCATTGATAAAATTGATTTCATAAGAAAAGAAAATAGGTGGCTGCAATGAAGAAAGCTTTTAATTTTCGACGAAGTTATTTACTAAGCTGTACTCTGGTGAATATATGTTACAGTGGGAGAACGTTCGATAATTACTTCCGGTCAGGGGGCGAAACACATTGAAAAACTAAAGGAAGTTAATTAATACACACTTGGGTTTAGAGTGGGGAAATAGACAAGGGATCATGAAAGTAAAAGTAATTATATAATACAGGATGAATTCTGACAAAGTAGGAAAATGAACGAAGGGTTATGAAAATAAAATTGTGATTATGTAATATCGCATAAACCTATGAGAGAGTAGGAAAATAAACAGAGGAGTATGGAAATGAGATTGTAATTACGTAGTGCAGGTTAAATCTGTGACTGAGTAGAAAAACGAACGAAGGATGAAGGAAATACATATATAGTTACCTAATACAGAATGAATTTATGACAGTCAAGGCTTTATGATGGCCATGGCAAAGATAAAGGCTCGACGTACGTTTCTTGCACATATAACGCTGGTTGGATCGAATGCTGTAGAGGATTTCGAATGAGCTCTCGAAAGGATCTAAGTGATCTGAGTTCACAAGGTGTTCTGTTGTTGAACTGAAGATACACTTCCGTTCTCCCTTTGCCAGCCAGGCTGGGTAGTGTTCGTGGGCAGGTTTTACAAGCGGACGCATCGTACAGCCTATGAACTCAGCTCCATACAAGCACGTAAACTAGTGTACTAGCCACATCAGTGTGTATACCAGTTTACTTGCTCTTTTGTGGAGCTGAGTACATTGGTCGTACCACACGTTCGCTTATAAAACGTGCACGCGAACACTACCCAGTCTGGCTGGCAAAGGGAGAAGGGAAGTGTATCGTCAGTTCAGTACAGTCACAGTTGTGCCTGATTTCCACAGTCTTCAAGTTTCAGGACAAAATATACAGACAAACAGGAGTAGCAATGGGATCGCCAATATCCCCCGATCGTGGCAGATGTATTTATTGGTAGTCGGGAAAACATGGCTTTACAAACGTTAAGTCCTGCACCAAAAATATGGTGGCAATGTATGGATGACAACATTTACTGTGTTGAAATCGGAACATATCGACAATTTCCTCACACATATAAACTCAGTAGTAGGCACAATCCAATTGACTTACGAGGTAGGAAATGAACAAGGAGAATTGCCTATGTTGGATTGCAGGATAAAAGGAAGGACAGATGGTGATTTGGATACTACCGTCTACAGAAAAACCGACGCATTCCAACAGATATCTAGACTTCATGTCATCCCATCCAATGTCAATTAAGGCTGGCTAAATCAAATATCTAAGTGATACAGCTAGAAAACTGACTAGTCAGTACAAGGATCTAAACAAGAAATTGAAACACGTAAAAGAAGCGCTAATAGTTAATAATTATCCTCTACAGTTTATTAAGAAATTCGTACGAACACACAAGAAACGAAATAATAACAGTAACACGAGTACGAATAATAACGACAACACGAGTAGAAAGTTCACAACCTCCATTGTCTTACCCTATGTCAGAAACTTAATGTAGGATAATTATATACGTAAGTTTTTACATAATCTCAGCGTGTTTAGAAGATCGAAAACAAGATTTTCCTGAACGTTTCGCTGTGTATGCCACAGCTTCTTCAGCAGAGTATTCAGATTTTATTTACCATCAAAATATGTACCATGTAGAAATTTCTGTCTTTATGTTATTCGTTAGCTGTTTTGTTGTTCAGACTGATTGTTTCCTGTTCGTCATCATAAATTCATACAGTCTTTGTCATCTGTCATCAGTAATCAAAGTGCATGTATGCGTATGTGTGTTAACTTTTTATGGAAAATGTCATTCGTTGTTTATCATATAAAAATGAAAAATATGTTTGTATATCCACAATAATTGATGCATGTTGTTTTTGGTTGCTTTTTTAAAGTGTAAATTTGAATGGTGACCTTTCTTTAGAGTTTTTGTCTAATTAGAGTCCACCATATAGGTGACAAGTCAATACCTTCCTTTCTGTTTAAAACATCCGTTGATGTTAGAATATGTAAGGCTTCTGATGTCAATCTCTGTTTATGTGTAAGGAAACCCCTCCCTAGCATGTCAACATTGTCAAAATCGATTTTGACAATGTTGACATGCTAGGGAGGGGTTTCCTTACACATAACAGAGAGTGACGTCCGAATACTCTACTGAAGAAGCTGTGGCATACACAGCAAAACGTTCAGAAAAATCGTGTTTTCGATTTTCCAAACACTCTGGGATTATATAAAAACTTACCTACATAATGAATCAACCTAACTCGGTGCTCAACTTCCTTCAGAACATTCGTAAAAACTATGGCCTGGATATTGATTAACGTAGGATCCTCAACAAAGCTGGAGTTAGGGTAGCATTTAAGCCTACAAACTCACTCAGAGATAAGGTTTGTCGACTTAAGAATCCGATGGAACCAATTGAGCAAAATAATCTAATCTATCAAATTCCATGTAATGACTGTGAGGTCAAGTACATAGGTTAAACTAGCCGGTCGGGGTCAGTTAGAATAGCCGAACATAAGAATTTAGCTAAATATAGAATGACACCCGAATAAGATCAATAATATAGAAAAAAACTCGGTCATTGCAATGAATGTATTGACATACAACCACACAATATGATATGTGGGATAAAACCGCTGTACTTAAGTCGAATATAACTAAGTGGAGAGAGAGATTGATTACTCAATCTTTGTTCAACGAATCAACAGGTGACACATGTGATAGAAATGACGCAACACATACCAGAGATATGGAAAATTTTATTACCCAAAAAAACAAATCATATGAGGTGACACAATTATAAAAATCAAAAGTAGTGTGATTACATTGAAATGACGATTGTGAGCAATAACTTATGCTCGAAACGTCATCAAGTAAATAATACTATATCACTGTTATAAATCAAATAAACACATCTAATAAGGAATTAAATTCTACCACAGTGCCCAAGTCTTACACCTATATAAATTTGTGATAGTTCACGTGTGCTTAGTCTGGTTTTTGTGAGAGGTTTCATTGAAACATCCGTAGGACTAGAGGTTTAGAGAGTGATTTAGTCGTATTTTGACTTTTTCTCAACTGTGGGTTCTGATAACTAAACCTCATGAATTTTATGCAACACATAATCTCTAGGTCATTGACATATCCGTCAAAATAGACACGGATAATTTTCAGATCTCACATTATGGTATTCATTGATAAAATATGCAACTTCGTTATTCGTCCTAGGATATTTTGTGTACCTAGAGAATTTTGTAAATGTAATCCACATAATAATAGACAAGTGAAACAACTACCTCGAAGATTCCGCTATTAAATTATATTTCATAAAACTGTCATTACATTCGGTGAAAAACACTTTGTTGTGGCAAAAACCTGAATTCACTGATCGAATACCGGTTGTAAAGTGTCACAAATGGCGGTAACAAAAATTTAGCATTCAATTTCGATGATATGTAGATAGGTATGAGAAATCCAAAAGTAACAGGTCTACGGTCGCAGATCAAGGTTTTGTGACTCAGCTATTTATTGGTAAAACACAGGTTAACGCATAGTTCGGTCAAAATTTATTTTCGTTTGGATTCACAAAACATAAAATCACGAGTGAAATTTCATTTTAAACGGTTAGGCTCCATACAGCTTAGTTTATTTTCACTATTTCTGACAGACTATTTAAAATAAATATCCAAATGATAGGTTAGTGATCACCAAACTGAAAATTTTTTTCCCAGAATATTTGTTAATCAAGTAACTCAACAGATTTTATTTCAATACTGATTTTGGGTTCAAAATGATAAGCCTGATTTCCTCGTAGGCATAAGAAAACAGCTGAATTCATAGAAATATACTGAGAGAAAAGAAAGCAAAACAACATAAAGATGAAAAAATAGTATGATTATATGGAACAAGTATTAGTTACATTTTGCAAGAGTCAAAGGAATCCATTCAGTAAGACCTATCAATATAGTGCTCAACAAGACACCTATACGGTCCATCTGAATAAGTAAAAAAGAAAACAATAAAAATGTACGTTTAGTATAATAAAACATGCTTGTTCACGTTGTGACAATCGTAAGCTCATAGTAATCCTTAGGATATCAAATATACATTAACAATGTCAAAATGATACGAAAGTCTTAGAGTTTCTAGTGGATAACGCTGACATTTGAAGCGGTCGATGCCCAGTTCGATTCCATGTGGGAACAAAACCTCTTACTACGAGGCAGATAAATCCAGCTGACAAGTGCCATCTACGACTAAACGCCTTTCCTAGATCTCACTACCAACAACCTTCCATCATTAATATAGTCATCACTGTACTTTGATGTATATGGAGATTTTACTTTTCAGGAAGTATAAATCAACAACTGACATCACTTGGAGAAACACTGAAAATCTGGGATAACTGGACAACGATTTCGTACTAGTTTCGGACCCACGACATGGCAGGCTGCTGAGAAATTATATTATTATTACTATTATTTGTCCCTTGGGTTCCGAGTGAAACATAGGGCTTCAGTAGCACGTCCCCATTTCACTCTGTTCTCTGAAGTCTTTCCACCCGGTTTCACGACTGCCTATATAATTTATTTTATTCCCCAGCCTCACACGCCAACTCGACGTTTCCCATCTGGGTTCCACTCGAGGGCCTGACCTGAGGCGTTATGTCCCCGAATGGTTTTCTCAGTGTATGCCTAATCCATCTCCACTTTATTCTGCATATTTGTTGAACAATGGGTTCTTGGTTGGTTAGTTGCCAGTCACAGGTCTTTGTTGCTTATTCTTTCTGGCCTCCTAATCTTCAGTATCGAGTGACCATAGGCGGCAGCTGTTGATGTATCTTTATAGTTTGTTGGAAATGCTTTTCGTAATGCGCCAAGTTTCTGAACCATATAGAACCACTGACTCGACTGACTTAGTGTTGGAAATCCGGATCTTGTTCCACATGCTGAGTGTAGTGCAGTAAATCTCCATACTGATTCAGATTAACGAAGGCCTGTCCCACTTTTCCGATCCTGGCTTTGACATCTTCATCTGTGCTGCCGCCTGTAGTTGAAACGATGTCTAGATAGATGAAAGAGACTACTTCCTTTAGGTTTCTCCCGTCGATGGTGATTGGTGCTTGTTGTTGATGCTGTTGTTGGCTGGGTAGGGAGATTTGATTAGCATTGAATTTTGATTATTTATTATTTGTCCCTTGGGTTCGTAATGGAACGTAGGGTTTCAGTAGCACATCTCCAGTGCACTATGTTCTCTGCAAACTTTTGAACCTGTCTCCACGACAGCCCACAAGCTCTCATTTCTTCTTCACAAGATCTCCTCCATGTCACCCTCACCTCGGACGCCCAACTCATCGCTTTCCATCTGGTTCCACTCGAGCAACTGGCCTGGCGCGTGATGTCCCCAGTCGGCCTTCTCAGTGTACACCCAATCCATCTCCACCTCCTTCTGCATATTTGTTGAGCGATAGCTTCTTGGTCGGCTCGTTACCAGGCCACAGTTCCTTGTTGCTTATTCTTTCTGGCAATCCATCTGAGCTTCAGTAATGAGCCAGCGTAGGCAGTTGCTGATGAATGTCTGCAATTTGTTGGAAGTCCCTTTCGTAACGCACCAAGTCTCTGAGCCATACAGAAGCACTGACTTGACGTTGGTGTTGAAAATCTGGCTCTTGTTCCACGTGCTGAGTGCAGAAGATCTCCACGCTGATTTCAGGTTAATGAACGCCTGTTTTGCTCTTCTGATCCTGTCTGGCTTTGACGCCCGCCTCCTCCTGTAGTTTGAACGATACTGCCTAGATAGGTGAAAGAGGCTACTTCCTTCTCCCGTTGATGGTGATTGGTGCTTGTTGTTGGCTGGGCATCTTCATCACCTCTGTTTTCTCTAAGTTAACTTGAAGTCCCGTCTTCGCTGCCTCTTCTATCAACTTGTTAGTTTTCGCCTGTAGATCCTCAAGTTTGTGTGACATCAGGCACAAGTCATCGGCGAAATCCAAGTCTTCTAGGTTCTTTTCCGCGGTCCAGCGTATCCCTCTCATCGCTCCTCACTGTTTGTTGCATGGTCCAGTCCACCACAATCAGGGGAATCATTGGTGATAGTAGGTGGCAACGTTGTCTTACTCCTGTCTTCACTTCAAAGGCATCACTGAGCTTCCCATTGTCGATCACTTGGCATGTGGAATCGTCATACAGCTGTTGAATGAGGTTGATAAAGGTTTGTGGTATTCCGTAGTGTTGAAGTAGCTGCCAAATCACTTCTCGGTCGACTCTACCGAAGGCCTTTTCAAAGTCGATAAAGTTGAGGTAGAGAGCTGACTGCCAATCTATACTCTGTTCTATGATGATGCGACGCGTTGCAATTTGGTCCGCACATGACTTGTTCTTCCTGAAGCCAACCAGCTTATTCCGGTCATAATTTTAAATCTAGAGCACTTTTCAGTCTCTCCAATATGATATGGCTTAATATTTTGCTTGGGGTGGACAGAGACAGGAGCATGATTCCGCGCCATGTTCTTGCAAAGACTTAGGTCACCCTTCTTTGGAAGTTTGACAAGGTGACCCTTCTTCCAATCAATCGGCAGGTACCTTTCCTTCCTTCCTTCCTTCCTCACAAACCTTCTGAAATAGTGGTGTGAGCATGTCCGTTGCTGTTGTCTCTCCATCTGTTCTCAGTGCTTCTGGAGGAATTCCATCTGGTCCTGCTGCTTTCCCGCATTTCAGCAACTTTATGGCGTTCAGCACTTCACTTCTGCTTTCGTCGGAGGGCTTGTGTGCACTCGTAATTCTGTGACTGGGCTGCTGCTGGTATTTCTGGACGAGTTACAGATGGTGGTGGTGGTCGTCGTCGTCGTCGATTCAAGAGTTTTTTGAAGTGATCAGCCCATCGTTCCCTTTGTTTCTCCTCTTTGGTCACTAAGTTTCTTTCGCTATCCTTCATTGGTTTCATATGAGTTGATCTCTTCCCAGATAGTAACCTGGTTATTTGATACAATGTTGTCAGGTCTCTGTCTCTCCCACCTGCAGCCTGTTCTGCTTCACTTGCCAGTGTGTCGTAGAAGTGTCTTTGCCTTTCCGCGCACTCTTCTTCACTTCTTTGTCCAGTGCGTAAGGGTGTCCTTTGTAGTCCCGTCCTTCAGTTTTTGTTCTGCGTGTTGAACTTGAACTGTGGTCTGTCATCACCAGCTACTCTGAAGGCTTTCAACTTGATTTTGAAGGTAGGTTCCTTGCACTAGACATTGTGTGATGTGAACCTACACCTGCTCTCCTTCTTGATCCGATCTTGTGTTCAGTGGGCTGTCTCCACTTTCTTGAGATTGAGATCAAGTCAATCTGATTTTCAGTGCGTCTATCTGGTGAAATCCATATCGCTTTGTGGATATCCTTGTGCTTGAACACTCTGCCCCCAATCACCAAATCGTTGAATGCACAGAATTCTGCAAACAGTTCTCCATTCTTATTTATCTCACCGATTCGCTCTCAACCCTTGATGAGTTCTCTTCCTGTGTTGTCCGCTCCTAGTTTGGCATTCATGTCATCCCACTCATTAGGATTTTAAAGTCGCCGTCTGGGGTGGGGTCTTGTCCATTGCTGAGTTCAATAGCCTATAATAGATGCCTAGCATCGTACGATTGTGACTTTCCTTCCTTTTGAGTTGAATCCTGCTGTCATTATCCTGCAGGACGAGATTGTTTCCCACTGCATGAGAGCCTGCAATGCTCTTGGGGACATCATGATAGCCACTACAAAACTCAGTGTGCTCGTGGTTGTCGTCTGGGTTACAATATCGGAGTAGATTATTGACTCTCCAGTTGACAGTTCTGAGAGTCCACTTCCATTCCATCTGTTTTCGTAGATTCCTGGCACTTCTATGCTATGCCTTCTCATCTCTTTTGTAGTCTAGGCAGCCTTGCGGGCCAGCCTCATACATTGTGTGGACATTCCATGTCTCCATTCTTACTTTCGCTTTCATCAAGAGAGAGAGAGAGAGAGAAGACACATCGGGCGATTGGCTTCCCGAAGGCTTTCAACAACCGGCGTCATTTCGTCTCTCCGATTCCAGAGAGGAATAAGTTTAATTTTATTTTCTATATTTTCTTTGTGCTTTGAGGTTTCTATAGCAGTTAGGTTGGTTTTACGGGGTAGGGTTGCTAGCCCTATGCCCAACCTTCCCTCTTTACCCGGGCTTAGGACCGGCTAGTACTAGTGAACTATTGAAGTAGGGGAGATTGAAAAGTCCCATAGTAAGACGAGAAAGCTGTCCAGAGCCCCCAGTTTTTCAATGGTTCTCCAAATTATGCCAGTCCATGACGAATACCACCTCATATTCATAACTGTTTAAATGTTACGCGTAAGCAACTGATTTCCTAAGTACATGAGCCAACTTGTAGGTAAAAAAAAGACAATTCATTTGAACCTGCCTACAATTTACAATCTACAACTAACGTTTGTATAAATGCGGATAACACGTTTCCGACAACTTTAATTAGAAAGGCATTCAGATTTGAGAATTATTAACATACTTCAAGGTTGAGTGACTGTTATTTCTGAACATAAATTTATAGGGAAATAATTATTGAATAAACAACCACATAAAAAACATTAGTATATCATAATAAAAGGCGTTTGCAAGATATGCGATGTGATTCACTAAAGTGTGGGTTCAAAGGTCCTTGCTTCAGTTTCTGAGTCCCTTATTGACAATAAGTCCACTGTTACAATCGACGCAGTTTGTCTACACACAAAATGCCAGAAGTAATTGCTTATCAGTAACGTTCAATAATACACAATACTTATAAAATAATCTTTGATACCCATTGTCAATTATCTAAAACATTTCTGGCTAGCAAAGAACGTTTGGTAAAGCTAACAAAGTTTAAATATCAATAGTCTTACAATACCTGTATGCTTAAATAAATCCTTCCAGTTCAGGCCTTCTTCTTTCAAAAAATGGTAGGCACAATAAAACTGAAGAAAATCTTGATCTTTTTGAGTAGTATTTAAAAAGTTACAGATATTCTCCGTGTCAACAGCATACGATGGATATTGGAGTCTAGAAAATCTAATACAAGACAGAATGCAATGATTTAATTAAATTAATCGATAACCTGTTGTAATATGTAACATAAAAATAAGGCCTAGAAGAAAGAAAACTGTTGTGAACGAGGCTTCTCTGAAAAAGCGTAAACGTATTGAAATGATGGTGTTCATTAAACTGTATAATAGACTGTGGCCTAATTCGATACATAACTTTATACAGCGCGCGCTCCAAGTGAGTGAATGATAACTGTCCCCAAAATTCAACTAAGTGAATAGCACAGGACCGAATTACTGGTCTACTTGCTACCCGTATATAGCCACTCATAACCCAGAAGTCCTAAGAAAGTCTAACAAGGTGCATGGTTGATGTAATATAGATTCGAACCACATAACAGACAGCCAACAGTTAGTAAAGTACAACAGAAAGGTTATGAGTGAGCTTTTATGTTGATTTTATCAGTCAACCAGTGAGTCACGTAGCTTTCTAATAGAAACACTTAAGAGACATTCATAAATCTGATAGACAAAGAGTTAAACGAGATTTGATGTCAGTCCAAAATAAAAAGTCATTTATTGGTATGCATTCTTGAAACGACATTTGGAAATAAATAGATTTCAAGTTAATTGAAATCTCAATGCGAGGAACTCAGTAACCACCTGTAAGTTCTCGCACTAGGTAATAAGCCACATTTATTGAGTGAGGATTGATCTCACTACATACTATACTGACTTCGGTAAATGAAATGCATTTAGACCAACTATTTCCACTATTCTATTAAACTTCTATAGAAGAATTCATTAGATCTTACTTAATATAAAACATCAAGAAGGAAGTCACGAGAAGATACGTAAAAGAAGCATAAAGTCACTTAGTAACTATTCAGTGTACGGCAGTATGAACTCATTTCCTAGAAATGTGCTACTTCAACTGAACATAATAAAAATTGAGCACAAAATAGCACATTCTGAAACGATGATTGTACGTTACTAGGATTTCATCATAAGATTATTATTATCATTACTATGTCAATTAGATTAGACACTCCATCATATACAGATACCGAAATCGTGTGAAGTTGTTAAACTAAAATAGAGAGCGATTCGCAAACGAAACAAAATAAGATATAAAAACAACCGAGAAAATGATCACCTGAGTGCCTCCAAGGACCGCCGCTTTATCAACAAGGCATCAAACAGTTCATCATTAAATGTGTTTGTTCTCTAGATGAAAGAAGAAAAAAACAATAATCGAGGCAGTAACCTCTTTAAAATGGTATAACTTCTAAACAACTGGACCTCCCGCGATATCACAATTACAACGAACTTTAAACATTTTAATTAGAAAAGTGTATAAGGATTTCCAGCAACAAACTACCACTTTTGCTTCATCTCTGAAATAAATCCAAGTCGAAAGCGTCACAACATCCCATTCCACCCCAAAAAAATATAAATATAGTAATTTTACGGTGAGACGAACACTGATGAAATACCGAACCGATGCCAACTGACACGAATTTATGCACCAGTAAAAACGCGACAAATATATGACGCAACTTTATAACATACGCACTTATTTCAACGGTGTTTCGTTGCATGCGAAAACAGTCAAAATTGAGAATGAAAACAAAAGCGTGATGCTATATAACACTGAATACATTGAGCCAGATAAAGTTAAATTCACTTAGGCCAATAACTAATATATCTTTGTAAAGCTTTCGATAAACAAAGGTAAGACTAAAATCTAAAAACTCACTAAGTCACTTTGAGGAACCTTTATCATAGAAACATCACGTTAGCACACTTAATCCATGACAATTCATTTAAAATCAAAGTGATGTAGTATCGAGAAAATCCCCTTTCTGTTACTTGAATTGAATCAATGCACAACCCAAATACTGTTAGGACGGTGGTTGCCATAGAAGAAGAGGTAAAAAATACTTTTGTTTGAACGAAAGTTTGATCGGTCAACAGAAAAGTGATGCACACTATATGAAAGCTTATCAACTCAAATAACTCATAACACCCACCAGTACGGCTGAGTTGATAGTGGAAACTTGTGAGAACAAAACTATCGTGTTTGACATACAATATTGCAAGCATATTACCTGTACCTGCTTCAGAAATGTAATTTCAAAATCTGAAACAAAGTCAAGTAACAGCAAATGATGGTTTGTTTTCGACAACTCAGAATTTTCTAGTTAGCATAACTAGGCACAAGCTATTCAATCGTACTCAGAAGTATCTTTGGCAAATTGATTGTAAATCAATCTTCAAACGCCAAACGGGAAAACTCATCAGCCCAATAATTGGGATCTCCAGGTGCATAATGGTTCGACGCATAACTGGACTAGAGCAACAACAAACTGGATACTTTTCACAACTGCACCAAGTTTAAGAATGAAAAAACCTTTACATACCAAATACTCTACAAATATCTTAATTAACCTGGAGGCAGTGATTCCGTAGGCCATGAGAGTTTCCATTAGTGTCTGACTGTGAAATGGGCCTCTGAAACACTGCAATCTCCATCATACCCAAACACGCACCATCCGACCTCAGAATTACTCAAATGGTGGTGTTATCGGATGTGGTCTGTCCCACATAAGCAACAAAAACAGAAAATACGGCCATTGCATTACATTCATTAACACACAACCACACAATAGGATGGGACAAAACCACTGTACTTAAGTCTAATATAGCCAGGTAGAGAGAGAGATTAATTACTGAGTCTTTGTTCATCGAATCCACACCCAACACATGTAATAGGAATGACGCAACACCTATACCAGAGATATGGAAAACTTTACTACCAATCAGAAAACAAAAAAAACAAAGAGAGATCAGGTGACAGGACTATAAAATCAGATATCGAAAGAAGTGTGATTACATTGATATGATTATGAGCAATGATTTATGCTCGAAACGTAATCAATTAAATAATACTGTATCACTGTTCGCTATATATCAAATAAACAAATCTAATACAGAATATACGTAGTCGTCAGATAGTCAGCTTGTAGATGTCACATTCCACAGGAACACAGAGGATATATCTGCACCAATGCGCCTGACCTTTCTCAGTCACACAAACTTCACAAAAGGACATATCAAGTGATCATTTCAAAAATGTTTGGGGTACGTCACCACCAGAATGCATGCTGTTGATCAGAAAGTAGTCCGACAATAGGGACTGAAGTGGTTGAACCTATGGAAAACTACAGTCACTAAGAATTAGAGTCAGTGATAGATGAGAACCGAGTATAGAAAACAATAGGTTGGACTGACTTTTATCAAATAGGATGATTTATCGTGCCGGCGAGCTATCCGATTGGCTACTTAGGGTCAAGTGTACTACACACAGATTCCCCATGTTCAAATAGACAATAAGAATGAAGGGTGCAGACGTTCTATCATCTTTACCGCTGTTGACTGTGTATCACGGAATCACAAAGTTAGTAACGTAGAACTCACATATTGAGGTTTGGGCAGAAAATGTAAGTCAGTTGATGAGGTTGTTAACCTTTATAGACTCAGGTGGTTAGAAAATGTGTTACGCATTCCTATTTATGACTTACCTTTAACATATCGATAGCAAGTTGGCCAGCTGCAGGATATACGCTCTCTAACGACAAAAGTTGCAGTGCCTGTGGAAAATAAGATACACTACGATGACAGGAAAAAGTAAATGTGATAAAGTTTAAATAAATACTATGATGAAGCTTTTAGCTTCTAGCTGTTTTTTAGATGGAACCCAATAGGCAGTTGAGTAGGCCTCTAGATACTGTTTACAATCTCATTTTTATAGCAATAATGAAGAGTAACTAACAGTGTAATCCTGGACACGAATGTCATCCTCTTCGCGATTTACTGACATAATCAGAAGCCTGGTGGGGTAGGCATTGCCATTTACATTGTTGGATGGTGGTTTCAGGGGGAAATAAAAATACTCACTGACAGGCAAGTATATGCAGCTGATAATAACCGAATAAAGCAAAATGCTTGTCCTGGATTTCCCTGTCAGCGAGTATTCCTCAGACCTATGAAAATGCATATTATTTGAGGTGTTGATATAGACTTAGCTGTCATACTAATATATTTTATAACTAATCGCGCTGTCCATGATGGATAAATTAATTGTAAAGTACTCTTTATCATTCTAGACGATATACACAGCGCAAACTTCGGAGAGAAGTGAGCAGTGAGTTCTCCATAGGTCTTTAAGTAATCTGACGGGAAGACCTTGAATTTGATTAGTTGTTTCCGGTAGAATCTTCCAGTCTGGATATGTATTCGGTTTCTCGCTCTGCTGACCTGAACTATGACATCTATGGTATTTCGAATGTTTTATATTGCAATTCTTTCAGTCACATAAAAAGTAAGTGGAATCATTTATGACTAAAGTAAAATTTTAACCTAGCTACAAGTTGGGTTTCGTATATCAGCCTAGATAGCAGTAAGCTGAATATTAAGAGGCCTAACAACGACCCCAGTGTTTCTGTGTAATTCAATCATCATCTCTAGCGATATATTTGTTTCTCCACGGATAAATCGAACCATGCAGAAATTGTCTTCTAATTTATACGTTTGTCTCTAATTTCAGAAAAAGGAGGGGATTTACGAAAAAAACTAAAGTGTACCTAGGGGGATGATATGGCGAATATGTATGTAAATTACTTCTCCAACAACCATGAGATCGAAATAAAAATATGGCGCAGATATTTTTGAAAGAAACAAAATAACAAACAAATTAATAGATTTCACACATAAGTAACTAAAATATGATTGGATTAACGGTTTTCATGCTTACGACTGGTTTTGAATCTGCAAGTAAACGACTTTGAATATAATAACCGAATTGCATATAATTCCCAATCCTGGCAATAAGACTAACTAGCAGCTCGTAGAAGCAATGCTGAAGAAAATAAATGTAGGCAACAGAAGTAAAGCATAAAAGCTTATATGAATGAACATACTGTCAGCTCACAACGCAACGAGTTATTAATTGATACTGACTATTACTGAATGTTGAGATTAAACAGATAACAAACATACATTACGTCCTCAGAAAGGGTACAGTACTTCAGATTCTTTTCTAATCAGGTTGCATTCAACAGTTTATTCTGACGTCATACTGCTTCCCAAGAATTGCTGAGAAAACAACTTACATCAGTTTGCAGACCTAAACATATTTTATGAAGTCATTGGCTTCTACGAAAATAAACTCTTTGGATAAACAAATTTGTCAATCAGTCACTTTTTAGGTTTGATTGTAAAAGGCTTGGTAGATAAAACTGCATTCTAAAGAACAATTTTGTTGCAACACGATACAGCAGAACAGTAGTGAGAATCTCTTTGTACTTGGTCTAAAACGATGAATTCCAAATGACTGAAAACAAGGCCAGCTTCGAAATTTCTATCATAAAAATCGAGAACGAATCTACAGTAAAGCCATGTAACTGATATTCAGTTGACTTCTTAGTTTCCAAGAGGCTTTCACTGGGTAATGAAACGTAACCATAAGGCCCAAAATTCACAATTCCAGTTGATAAAATATTTGGCAGTTATATAAGACTTGAAACAGCGTAATGGGTCAAAATGAAATATATTGGTGATTATATGTATACTCCAGAAGAAGCAGCCAATTTTTCACAAAGAAATCTCTTTTTCTTACAGTGAACAAAACTGCAATGGTTTTGTGCATCATACAGAATGCGGCAGAGGCGACAACACCCACCCAAATAACTTTGAAGGAAACAAACAGAACAGCTTAACGTCATAACAGCATTTTTAGGAAGAAACTGTATTTACAGAAAGTGGACAGGTAGAAAAACTTTTAGATAATGTGAGTTGTGTATATTGTAGGAGAGGAGTTCAGCCAGATTTTATGCACTTATTTGATCACATGATTCATTAGATACTTCCTTCTACAAGTAGTACAAATAAAAGGTTTTCTTTACTATAAACAAAATGATCATAATCAATACACCGTTAGAGCACACTTACTTCTATGTGTACATTATGATCCAACATAATACGAATATATTCAATCAACAGAGAGCAGAAGAATTTACGAACTTCCAGATTCTAAAATATTTGAAGGTAAATACTTTAGATTAATTCACTATTCTAATATCAACAAGTAAAAGCTCATAACCTAACAGAGCACCACATCGCTTTAGATGCAAGCTAATCCAAAAGGTACTCACAGGTCCTGAATATTATTATTTCCATTACAACATATGTGAATGCTGGAAAGTAAACGGTAAATGGATCAAGTTGTAAGATAACTAAGCTAAAAAGGTTAAAAATCTAAAAATACACAGCAGGTGCATAGCTAGTTGCTTGTTGAAGAAATGATAATGCAGACACACTTTCCGTTTCATTTGCAAAGAATTAGGGTGTGGTGGAACAGCATAAAAATAGAATCCAGTTTCCTTTCGTACTGCATTCGCAGATGAATTTACCTTACTGCCAAACACGAACATTTCACTATCTAATATTTATTATTATTTATTTATTAGTCTTGGACACAGACCTTCCTGTTGATTGTCACCAATATACTAACGCCTGTCAAAGTGCACCGCGAAAGTGAGCATCCCAATCGACAGCTGCTACCCTGACGTCGTGTTGGGCTTGCATATCAAAATGACCCAACGAGCTACACCGACTGGGACGCTTGTTCCTTCGAGGTCCTATCATGCCAGAAACGTCTGTTAGATAGTGATAAGACGAAAAGCTACAACCGTTGTAAATTACTACATTACGATGGGGGTTCTGAGGGCGAAGTCGTACTGCTGCTGCTGAATGGGGTGTGGATGACCAGCAGTGCCACGCTGATGCTGCCTTCTCAACGGGAGGGAAGAAGGGGATACAAAAGATCGGCCCCCAAAAATAACAGCCCACCCCCTCGCGGGATGCCGATGCTTGGAACAGGGATTCCAAGTCGAATTCAAAAGCAAAAAACCGAAATATAAGTGTAAAACTTAGGCACATTGGTATGATTATGAGCAATAATTTATGCTCGAAACGTAATCAAGTAAATAATACTGTATCACTGTGCGCTATATATCAAATAAACAAATCTAGTATGGAAAAAACCAAAATCTCAAAACTGCCAAAAGGCAGTGCGTGATCGGCCTCAAGCAGATGTCCCATAGGTTCTGTGATCACATCTTTTTCTCTATCACATACTTTAAGAGGAAATAGGCTTTCACGGTGCAGGCAGCCGGGAAGTGTCAACCACCCACACGCTTCTAGTAGTATACAATACCCAAACAAACATGACCTATCCTCCTCAACTCTGTCTCCTCTGTTGCCTTCACCTGCTGATACTAATATTAAGCCTATTATGCCATATCCAACCTCCCACTTTGCAACTATTGCCAACGATCAAAGACATCGAAACCTCATTCCTAGTCTCTTAAGACTCCATTATCGACTTCATGTAGGACATTTCAAAGTGCGAACTCTATGCGAACCAAACAGCACGCATCGTTCACCAAAACTATGGATGTATGTTGCGTCTGTGAAACACGTATACAAGACCTGAGTGTGGTTGTTTGCTTGACGTCACCTGGCCTGGTCATAGCAATGAATATTCAAAATTCACCTTAAGAGTATCCGGAGACCCAATGGTTAGCTCTCATGGACTCACTAGCGTAGGCATAGCATTGAGTTTTGCAGCAGAAAGTGTGCTCCTCGATTGAATATCCAGTAAACAGCCATCCATATGCTGTTCAACTAAATGGACCTGTAAGGAATAGAGGGCATCGTGAGACCAGGCGATGGCTATTCGTAATTTCCACCTATGCACCCACCGACTGCAGTTCGGATGATGCAAAGATGAATTCTATGAAAAGTTTTCAACTTTGCTACAGAAAGTAGAGCGTTCAAATCTATTCATCATTGCAAACGACTTAAGTGCTGAAGTAGGGACCAAACGGAAAGGCATATTGGTGGTATTTACGGAATCCCATGCCAATGAACCGACAAAGGTGATCGTCTACTGCAATTTCGCTCGGATATTCACTTGTTTCTGGTTAGCACTACCTACCTACCAGTTTGGTAGGTAAAACGGGTTCGTGTATGTCTACGCCTTACTGGTCGCAGGAAACAGGCGGCAGGGATGCCTGTCTACGGTAAACTGGAACGTGAAAACGTCAAGTTCGGATTTAGGGAAGAGATAGCTAACCATTTATCTGAACGAGAAAGTAGTGATCACGGTGAGGATACCTGGCGTGATATAAAGTCTACTGTAGAAACAGCGGTAAAGACAACTGATAACCTGCACCCGAAGGTTAGCAAACGTCATTGGATCTCCGCGACGTCATCCGAACTGATTGATGTGAGAAGACTGATTCCAGCTGACTTTGACCACAATGAAGAGAGAAAGCGACTCAAATGAAAGTTGACCAAGAGTCTTCGAGTCGATAGCGAGCAGCGGTGGGTGGTGAAGGCTAGAGAGATGGAGAATGCATTAGCGTTGGGTGATACTCGGAAACTATTTAGGCTTATAATAGATACCTGCAGGAAGACGATGGCGAGTGGAACCATCACTGAAAAGGATGGAACGCTGATAACCTAACAGGACAGGCGGCTAGAGCGTCAGGTGGAACACTTTGAAGCACAGTTCAACTGGTCTTCGGTAAAGCCTCAGTTCCTCAACATCATCCCTCAACCTGAAAGCGACGCAGGTGTCGGTTTTTAAACTCTCCATGAAATTGAGAAAGCTGTATTGAACCTGAAATGATGCAAGGCAGCAGGAACTGACAGTTTGACGCCTGAGGTTTTCAATGATGGAGGCAAGAAATTGATAATTAAAGTGATGGGAGTACTAGGTAGTGTATGAGAATCAGAGGTAGTGGCATCAGACTAGTGTACTTCACTAATCCTACATGTCTATAAGAGGGGAGGAAAATCTTCCTGTGACAACCATAGGGGAATTCGACTGGACAATATTGTCGAAATTGCTAGGCTCAATACCGTTGACCTGTGGCTCAACTCTCTCATAGGTTTATGCGATATTACATAATCACAATTTTATTTTCATAACCCTTCGTTCATCCTGTATTATATAATTACTTTTACTTTCATGATCCCTTGTCTATTTCCCCACTCTAAACCCAAGTGTGTATTAATTAACTTCCTTTAGTTTTTCAATGTGTTTCGCCCCCTGACCGGAAGTAATTATCGAACGTTCTCCCACTGTAACATATATTCACCAGAGTACAGCTTAGTAAATAACTTCGTCGAAAATTAAAAGCTTTCTTCATTGCAGCCACCTATTTTCTTTTCTTATGAAATCAATTTTATCAATGGTCGATTTTCCCTGTCACAAACTGGCACAAAAATTAGAAGAGGTTCGTACAGCAAATGTCAAAAACCCTTGAATTTGGCGATAGAATAGAGCCAAACTTGTTCGAAAAGTCCAAGACATTATACGATGTCTTATGTTTATTCATGAGCACACGTATCCAGAAAACCAAATCGTTCGTCAATAGTCGAATAACATACCTCTATGTGTAGCAGAAATGTTGTATCCCCTGCTAATGTGCACTAATAAAAAGGATACCAGCCGACTGGTTGAGTGTCTATGAGTGGTCCAAAGAAGTGTTTATTAGCAGAGATATATTTATGGCTAGCTTAGGAGAAATCAATCTGAAATTAAGAGGACCGATACAGCCACATTCTACGTAGGGTTTACGATGACACCTTCGAAATGTGCCTCAAGTAAGCGAGCTGCTCGACCTCTTCAACAGCCGTGATCACTGGAAGCGAAAGAAAAATGGTACGACTAAAGTGGGCATTCACTACAAAGCCACATGGAGTGGACAGTAGTTGAACTTTAATAGCTTGTGTTCGCCCATATAAAGTGTAAGAGGGACTTGATGAGTAAAAGACCAAAGAGCATCGAGGCTTCGATCTGAAGAGGTGCTACACAACGAAATTAGGTCGGTTGAAGAATGTCTACATTGTAGTGAATAACCGCTGGAGTCCATCCAGAAATACGACGAAAGCGAAAGTAAAGGAGAGTGCTCAAAAAAAGAAGTGTATATTGCCAAGACTGGTCTTGAGAGGAGACGATGTCACTGAGAGAATTGATATAGGGTTTGCAAATGAAATGTCTCACACATACTCATCCGCTAAATCGGTGTGAGCGCATCTAGCCACAAAACGCATTATGAATTCCCAAATCTCTTCACCTCAAACTGTGTCTATCAGTCAATGCACACGCCTGAAAGTAAGTACATTGGTAGGATGGAAGGGTAGATTTGTCTACCTCCACAAAATATTTGTAATAACTGAACTCCATCACAACTCTTCTATTTTTACCAAAAGATCTACACTTCAAGAATAAACTAAAGGACGAAAAACGTCAACAGCTACATTTTCGTCCAGACGAAAACCTGGTGGTTGACAGAAAAGTAAATTTATTTACCTCCATACACTGGTTCTTCATAAATACATGAGAAAATATTTCAGATTGAGTAATAATGCTGCATTTCGATGAAACCAATAACGATTCTTGAGATGAAGTTTCCTAGTAAAATACAAACAGAAATTTATTTCCAACTTTTTCACACAAAGAATGAATAACGGCCGGAAATGGGACTGAAAATAAAAGGGAAACAATAATCTAGTCACTGGAAGACTTCTGTGAATGTATGAGCTGTAGCTCACATTGGTTTAGGGAGATGACTTCCAACTGTCGGGACACGGGTTCGAGCTTCACCCCATCTACCGAGGTTTGAGCAGCCAGGCGGTATAATTAGCCCTCTCACAATAGGTGTAACTCATTGCATACTGCACAAACGTGCTCAAGGTTGGTGCGTACACTTCATTTCTTTAAATGTGACATCTCTTACACATCTTGACTATACCATGCAGTGTGAGCATTACCATATGCGTAAATCAAATTCAATGCAAGTGTAGGACTAGAGCATTGTGACAGAACAGTATAATTCTATATTATGTTAGTCAGTGACACGGCTCACAGCTATTATTATTTCTGGACAATGTTTCCGACACTATTTATTGATTGCAATCTTATCAAGGTAATAACAGAACTTCCTGTCCTACTGTTACTAGTCCGGATTGACTTGATTGGCACCGAAATTGTCCATATATTTTAGATTGGAGTTGTACTGTTACCTCTGCAGGAGCTAGGCGTTGGTTTGGTGAACATCGATTCAGTGTTCAACCTTTTTTAAAGTTCGTAAAGCAGGTCATCTCATTAAAGAAGTCGTTGATTTTACGAGTACTCTGACATATCATCAGTTGTGTAGTAAGTATTTACTATTAATTTCTTGCCATTATAGAAACTGGTCAAACCTTAGACTAACCAAGTCACATGAGCAGGAGCAAAGACTGGATGATATTCAGATAGAACAGGACGAGAAAATGACAACTCTCGATGTCATAAGTTCTTGTACTAACGAGTGTCAGTCAACATGGTTACAGAAGACATCGGAAATCGGCTGAACAATGGTCCTCAGCCCATTTACAGAACTAGGACGCTGGATGAAGTGAACATTTTGGGAATTCGGTCACAACCTCTATTATTGTTGTTATTATTATTATTATTTGTCCCTTGGGTTCCTAGTGAAACATAGGGTTTCAGTAGCACGTTCCCATTCCACTCTGTTCTCTGAAGTCTTTTCATCCTGGCTCCACGACTGCCCACAAGCTTCCATTTCTTCCTCACATGATCTCCTCCATGTCACCCTCGGACGTCCAACTCATCGTTTCCCCTTTGGACTCCACTCGAGGGTCTGGCCTGGCGCGTGATGTCTCCAAATGGTCTTCTCAGTGTATGCCTAGTCCATCTCCCCAAAATCATCCCATTCTAATCGATACCTAGACTTTAAATCATCTAACCTTTCCCCGCCCCCCACTCCACTGAAACAGATTTAGTTGAACACCTAGGCGAGAAGTCCAACTAGAGGGTCAGAAGTCTTATCCACGTTTAGAACTAATTACAGAGACTCATCAAGTTGAGTAGTCTAGAAAAGCACGCAGTATTTTTTGTAAATGAGACGATACACGACCACACAATAGAGTGAAATGGGATCAACAATAGAAGGTGTTCTCTTCTCTTCTTTGTCGAACGAGGTAAGTATGTGCTCAAAGATCCACTTCGAAGGCAAGTGCCAAGTGTGACCAACAAACGTTATTCCACAGGGACAGGTAAACTCGTTGAAACACATAGAACTGGTCAAGGGTCAGCTTATCGCTCACGCATAATCGAGGCATCTGGTAAGCAGAGAGAGCCAGTCTGAGTGTTGTAACGTGGAATATCTCTCTCAATGAGGACGTCATACAGTTTACTAATATTTCTACTCGAGCTTCTCGATTGAATTGTAAACTCATGAAGAGATTTATCGGAACTGTGAAAGTAGAATGAATATCAGCTTTCAGTTCGATAACTTTTGCAACGAAACGCTCACGGGAGTTGTTTTCAATGAAAACATTCGTAAGAAAATTTAGTTCATCTCAAAGTATCAGGATTGTAGATAACGAATATTCTGAAGCATAATCAACGAACTAAATGGATTCCATAAACCTTGTTTCATCGAAAAGGATAAGTGATATCTTTTATTCGTGTATTCACATGGTGGTTCATCAATACGACATCTACCCCTTTTTCAGGATAAATCATTATAATCTGTTTGATCCTCTTTTCTCTGGTCTCTTTCCAGGGTTTCTTAGTTAGTATACAGTCATAGTGTAGATTTATGCTAAGGAACTTGTGACAAATGTCCACTAGAAGTTTTCCAACTCCTCTTCAGATGAGGGTACTCTAAGGGATCAGTTCGGTTTATGAGGTTCTCGAATTGCACAGGAGTATGAGTACAAAATCTAGGACCCGAGGACTGTGTCTCTGGTAAGACTGTTAGCAACTGAATACAGTTTGCTAGGAAACCATTGTGTGGTAGCTGTAGTTACCTTCAAACGACTTAAAGAATTCGACTTCGTCTTTTCACACCGTTATATAAACTTTGGAAGACTGATACAGGTCTGCTTGCAATTCATGAACGGCTTGCACCCCAGGGTCCATATTTCGTTCAAGTTCGGTAATGCTTGAGCAAATCTCGTCTATATGGTTCATGGTACGAAGCTTCGAAGTATTGGAGATTGACCAGATGTGATTGTGGCTTACTGCCTTCCTTCCAATGCTGCTTAAGATGTTCGTCTCGAAGTTGGGTGTCTCTCGAAGAAACGTATGTTTGCTTGACGAAAAAATGCAGGAATCCATTCAGCTCCTTCACTAATACGAACTTCTTTTAGAGTTTTCGTGGTTGAAAAATCCTCATTAGGTTTTGAGACGAAACAATTCCAGCAAAGAGCCACCCTTTTCGCTTTTCACATTCTCCACCTCCACAATCACATGCGAATATTACATTTTGTGACTACCCTGGTTTTACCGGAATGAATCAGTTTTACTCGGAACGTGATCTGTTATGACAGTAGCACTCTCCACTACCCCACGGTATGGCGGTGCCAGCGATATGAGCTCATAGTCAGAGTCGAAACTGACAACTTGAGATCGCAAACTTCCAAAAGGACTGTATGCTACCGGCCTCAAACAAATGTCCCTTGAGTTCTTTGGTTACTCATCTGTTATTTACCTGGAAAAGAATCAGTCTTCCACGGTGTGAGCAGTCGGTAACTGTCAACAATCTTCATACTTCTGTCTATGCTCAAGCATCCTCGGATCATTATCAACCTTCCATTTCCTCACCTAATCTTTCACTTCTCTTGATCAACATTCCTGCATCAACTTTCATTCTTCCCACTTCTACAGGTCTATATAACGACATGAGTTTATGGGACACCATCTATGTTCTCCTTAAATCGCTCTCCAAACTACACATTGGGACTCTCACTGTCACCCGAACCCTCCATCAAATCGGCCAACATGCTTCCCTAGTCAAAGCCCTAGCATGTTAGCCCACGGATTTGTGCTATGTTTACAAGACAAGCATATGGGACGTAATTGCTGTTATTCACATAACTTCACCCAGTCAATATGTTGAGTTTGCAGAATCTCCCCTTTGAGTTTCTTTAGATTCATTAGCCAGTTCTCATGGCCGTGCCAGTGTACGAAAGGTAGTGAGTCTCAAGATACAAAGTGCACTTCTCGACTGAATCCTAGTTGACAGCTGCCTATGCGCTCGCTGTTCGACTGCATGGCACAGTGAGGACTAAGAGGAATAGTGAAACTCGCGGTTGTCTCTTTGTGATCTTTGCTGATGCATGCATCCACTGACTGCATCTCGGATGAAGTGAAGGATGAGTTCTCGCGAAAACTATCCAGCCTCTTGCTGAAAGTCAAGTGTTCAGACATGGTTATGGTTGCAGGCGGTTTCACTGCTCAACTGGCTAGGTTAAATCAGGCGGAAAGATACATTTTGGGAATCCCATTCGAACAAACAAATAGTGTTGATTACCTGCTGTGACTGTTTAGACAATCACCTTTTTCCCATCAGAACGAACTTCAACCTTCAAGATACACGCTGACTGAAGTGGCGTCGACCGACCTCAACTAAGCATTCGACACAGATAGACTATATTGCTATGAGTTGTTGTTGGAGACAGTCGGTGGAAGGATTGATACTCTTGGTGCAACGTGTGTTTGGACAAAGTCATGCGTTAGATTGAACATGCGTATCTGCTGTCAAAGGCATGTGGGAAAACTACAGCAGTGAAACCACTGTGAGTGCTGCTTGAAGATGAGATACAAAAGGCAGCTGCAATAAGTAACAGAAGATAGACTTACCAGAGAAACTGGAGCAAAATGATCATAGAGGAGAAGGATATATCTGTGATTCACTTCCAGGAGAGATGATTAAAATGATAGGGGATAGCTTCGAGGAACAGTTCAACTCGCCATCACCTACTATTCCGTGGCCAGATGTCTTGGCACCGGAGGTATTTAGGAATGGTCGTCACAAAATATCGGTCAGGTTAACTGAAGTGTTAGCTACTGAACGTGGGTTAGACATGATCCCCTACGAATGCACTCAATCACTGATTGTCCTAGTCCTCAAGAAAAGGGAGAAATCCTCTTATAATAACCATAGGGGAATCAGCCTGATGAACATAGTGTCCTGAATTCTAGTTTCCATAGTTATCAGACGTCTAAGTGGAGCTTGAGAGCGACAAATACGAAGAAATCAGGTACATTTCAAACCTCACCATGGGTGTATCTACCAGACACTCTCCACCAAGTTCCGAAACACCGGTACACTTACCGAGGCTTGACAACAGCTGGACTTCATGAACTGTGGTTGGCCTTCAACTGCATTGACCGGGATGTCTCATGGTAGTGTCTCTCACGAATAGGTGCACTGACCAAGCACATCATTCTGTTGAAGGCTCTAAATTCGGGCGCCCGTGGACGTAGTTGACCCAATGGTGAGCTGTGTACGTCAAGTGATGATGTCCGTCAAGGAAGTATACTCTATTCATTCTCATTCATTTTTATCAAATTGCGTTGTACTTTGCTGTTATACTATGGTGTTGCGAAACATGGCCATTAAAGGCGTAGGACATGAGGAGACTTCAGGTTTTTAAGCACTGTTCCCTTAGTAGCATAGGCCATGTGTCGAGGTATCACTTCGTGAGTAACGTAGAAGTCAGGTGCAGACTTGTAGGTAAGAGACGAAGACCAACCGATGAGGTTGTGAACGTTCATGGACTCAGGTGGTTAGGAAATGTGTTACGCATGCCTAGTCACCGTCTGGCTCATCGCAAATCCTTGCCTGAAGTATGTCCAGGCTGGGAAAAGGCTCCGGGTGGACAGAATAAAACATGGCAACAGCCCAGGACACCTTTGACTGTTGGTATAAGCCGTGCAGAGGAATGTAAAACGCTCAGTTGGGGTCCGTGTGACAACAAAAAACAGACGTCGGAGACTCTAAGTGATGAGATGGTTCAGAGTTTGTGTTAGTGGTGTGCAGATGCATCCACACATTATCTTCATCTTATTCATCGAACTACGTTTCAGTACGCTATCATTCTTCTTTGGTCTCTTTGGATAACTCTTAACCAATTTCGATCGCTTTCTTCATTATTTCTTTGTCTCTCATCTTAGAGCATCCTCACTTAATGCACTGACATGCGGTGTAGTACCTCAAGTCGTTATGCATTAAAGCCAGGTTGTATATTGATTTTGGCTTTCTGCGTCTGTTGAAACGTGATCAGTAAGTAATACTGTATGATTCTCTGTGTTTCATATCAAATTGACTCACCCAACTTCAGTTTGACAATACGATATAAACCATGGTTTGGCAGACTTACATTAACGACTCTGGGTGGTGACTGAAGAGGAAATGAAAATCTGGGTCGCTGTAGGACTCGGAACAGCGGGCTGATGTTGAAGCTGAGCACCATCGATCTCACCACGGAAACCGACAACAATTAGACTGGTAAATATGATGATGAAAACAATTTCCCGTGTCATTCGCACACTATACTCAACATGAAAACAAAGCATCCTTCAAAATCAAAGAATGATATTACTCAATATTTCACTCCATATAGACTATGCCTAGTAAATTAATTCAAAGTTTGTAAGCCCTAATCAGAAGTATGAATATTGAGTTTGAAAATTCACACCGGAAATTTCTTAAGTCAAGAGTGAGAAGTTCAATTGATGAATGAAATTATGTCAATCACATAGGATCAAAATTATAATTATGAATAAGCAGAACAAAACTTACTAATGTATGAGGCCGCGAAGACGTTCTGTATGAGCCTTTGTCGAAGGAATTAGTGTTAAATTTGTTAGAATCAGTATGTAAACGATTTGCGTCAACTTTTGTAGGATAGCATACTTCACATATTCGTTTAAAGATAAATGCGAATTGATCTAGTCTTTGGTTCAGACCGCAGCCATTAAATGTATAGTCCAGAGGTTTATCTGTCATCCAAATTACCTCTTTAACACTAGTCGCCACCAATTCACAAAAGTAATCTAGTAGTACGCTTTTCCCGTTAAATCGGTGCAGAATAAAATCCACAACCAAGTTCTACAAAAGAATCATTCATACACTTTATCTGCCTTCTCGAAAAGCCTTGTTATCAAAAGTTGGTATTGTTTTTCAAATATGAATTCAATCGTACTCAAGAACAGCGGATGAAAATATAAGGATGATGCGCATGCATGAGAGTCACAAACAACAATATCATCATTCAGAACAACAATGCAAGATGTTTCAGGTAGTGTGGAAGAGGCATGAAGTAAATGAACAGTTGTTACTGTTCAAAACTAGAGGGCTACCTCTTTTGAAGTACCTCAAGCTGATCAGTTCTGGTAGTTGTACTGAGTCATAAACACAACAGCAAGGTCCATAGCAAATTTGCTTGGAGACGGTCACCCTCGGTCTATTTGTGGGCACTTGATTTATAATCCATAAAATTTGATTTCTGCTTTAGACATATTACTCACAACTGCTAAATTATCAGCACGTGTTTACATCCTCCTACCTGGTAACGGACAACTCGTTTTGCTGGACATATGGATAGTCATAGTTACACACGTTAATACAGTCATTCCTGAGTACAGCTAGCCGTACGAATTAACTCATAGGCCGTGTCTAGTAGTATTTTCGCACTATTCGACCATTAGACATTTCTGAATAAAAAATATCAAGAACAGTAGTAACATCAATACAAATGTTCTCCAGAGTAGTAATGCTCTATGAATAAGCATTTCTAGTCAGTCTTAACAGAAGCACGTGACTAATTCCTGTGTAAAACTTTATTTGAATGACTATTTGATTGTATAACATCGCCTGGTTAACTAGTTCACTAGTTACTAGCCGGTCCTAAACCCGGGTAAAGAGGGAAGGTTGGGCATAGGGCTAGCAACCCTACCCCGTAAAACCAACCTAACTGCCATAGAAACCTCAAAGCACAAAGAAAATATAGAAAATAAAATTAAACTTATTCCTCTCTGGAATCGGAGAGACGAAATGACGCCGGTTGTTGAAAGCCTTCGGGAAGCCAATCGCCCGATGTGTCTTCTCTCTCTCTCTCTCTCTCTTGATGAAAGCGAAAGTAAGAATGGAGACATGGAATGTCCACACAATGTATGAGGCTGGCCCGCAAGGCTGCCTAGACTACAAAAGAGATGAGAAGGCATAGCATAGAAGTGCCAGGAATCTACGAAAACAGATGGAATGGAAGTGGACTCTCAGAACTGTCAACTGGAGAGTCAATAATCTACTCCGATATTGTAACCCAGACGACAACCACGAGCACACTGAGTTTTGTAGTGGCTATCATGATGTCCCCAAGAGCATTGCAGGCTCTCATGCAGTGGGAAACAATCTCGTCCTGCAGGATAATGACAGCAGGATTCAACTCAAAAGGAAGGAAAGTCACAATCGTACGATGCTAGGCATCTATTATAGGCTATTGAACTCAGCAATGGACAAGACCCCACCCCAGACGGCGACTTTAAAATCCTAATGAGTGGGATGACATGAATGCCAAACTAGGAGCGGACAACACAGGAAGAGAACTCATCAAGGGTTGAGAGCGAATCGGTGAGATAAATAAGAATGGAGAACTGTTTGCAGAATTCTGTGCATTCAACGATTTGGTGATTGGGGGCAGAGTGTTCAAGCACAAGGATATCCACAAAGCGATATGGATTTCACCAGATAGACGCACTGAAAATCAGATTGACTTGATCTCAATCTCAAGAAAGTGGAGACAGCCCACTGAACACAAGATCGGATCAAGAAGGAGAGCAGGTGTAGGTTCACATCACACAATGTCTAGTGCAAGGAACCTACCTTCAAAATCAAGTTGAAAGCCTTCAGAGTAGCTGGTGATGACAGACCACAGTTCAAGTTCAACACGCAGAACAAAAACTGAAGGACGGGACTACAAAGGACACCCTTACGCCAGTCAGCCATCAAGAAAAAATGGTAGATATTAGGCAACATCCCCGAGGATACCTACGTGGAAGAACACTGGAACTGTTTGAAAGAGATGTGGAAAGAATCCTGCATAACCGCACTGGGAAGGAAGAAGAAAGAAGACAATGAATGGATCTCGACAGACACATGGAAGCTGATAGAGAAGGGAGAGGAAGATGTTGAAGTAGAAGATGAACCAGTGGAGTGTAGGGATGAACAACGGGGAGAGGAACTGAATACAGCCTATCAAACACTGGAAAAAGAAGTGAAGAAGAGTGCGCGGAAAGGCAAAGACACTTCTACGACACACTGGCAAGTGAAGCAGAACAGGCTGCAGTGGGAGAGACAGAGACCTGACAACATTGTATCAAATAACCAGGTTACTATCTGGGAAGAGATCAACTCATATGAAACCAATGAAGGATAGCGAAAGAAACTTAGTGACCAAAGAGGAGAAACAAAGGGAACGATGGGCTGATCACTTCAAAAAACTCTTGAATCGACGACGACGACGACCACCACCACCATCTGTAACTCGTCCAGAAATACCAGCAGCAGCCCAGTCACAGAATTACGAGTGCACACAAGCCCTCCGACGAAAGCAGAAGTGAAGTGCTGAACGCCATAAAGTTGCTGAAATGCGGGAAAGCAGCAGGACCAGATGGAATTCCTCCAGAAGCACTGAGAACAGATGGAGAGACAACAGCAACGGACATGCTCACACCACTATTTCAGAAGGTTTGTGAGGAAGGAAGGAAGGAAGGAAAGGTACCTGCCGATTGATTGGAAGAAGGGTCACCTTGTCAAACTTCCAAAGAAGGGTGACCTAAGTCTTTGCAAGAACATGGCGCGGAATCATGCTCCTGTCTCTGTCCACCCCAAGCAAAATATTAAGCCATATCATATTGGAGAGACTGAAAAGTGCTCTAGATTTAAAATTATGACCGGAATAAGCTGGTTGGCTTCAGGAAGAACAAGTCATGTGCGGACCAAATTGCAACGCGTCGCATCATCATAGAACAGAGTATAGATTGGCAGTCAGCTCTCTACCTCAACTTTATCGACTTTGAAAAGGTCTTCGGTAGAGTCGACCGAGAAGTGATTTGGCAGCTACTTCAACACTACGGAATACCACAAACCTTTATCAACAGCTGTATGACGATTCCACATGCCAAGTGATCGACAATGGGAAGCTCAGTGATGCCTTTGAAGTGAAGACAGGAGTAAGACAACGTTGCCACCTACTATCACCAATGATTCCCCTGATTGTGGTGGACTGGACCATGCAACAAACAGTGAGGAGCGATGAGAGGGATACGCTGGACCGCGGAAAAGAACCTAGAAGACTTGGATTTCGCCGATGACTTGTGCCTGATGTCACACAAACTTGAGGATCTACAGGCGAAAACTAACAAGTTGATAGAAGAGGCAGCGAAGACGGGACTTCAAGTTAACTTAGAGAAAACAGAGGTGATGAAGATGCCCAGCCAACAACAAGCACCAATCACCATCAACGGGAGAAGGAAGTAGCCTCTTTCACCTATCTAGGCAGTATCGTTCAAACTACAGGAGGAGGCGGGCGTCAAAGCCAGACAGGATCAGAAGAGCAAAACAGGCGTTCATTAACCTGAAATCAGCGTGGAGATCTTCTGCACTCAGCACGTGGAACAAGAGCCAGATTTTCAACACCAACGTCAAGTCAGTGCTTCTGTATGGCTCAGAGACTTGGTGCGTTACGAAAGGGACTTCCAACAAATTGCAGACATTCGTCAGCAACTGCCTACGCTGGCTCATTACTGAAGCTCAGATGGATTGCCAGAAAGAATAAGCAACAAGGAACTGTGGCCTGGTAACGAGCCGACCAAGAAGCTATCGCTCAACAAATATGCAGAAGGAGGTGGAGATGGATTGGGTGTACACTGAGAAGGCCGACTGGGGACATCACGCGCCAGGCCAGTTGCTCGAGTGGAACACAGATGAAAAGCGATGAGTTGGGCGTCCGAGGTGAGGGTGACATGGAGGAGATCTTGTGAAGAAGAAATGAGAGCTTGTGGGCTGTCGTGGAGGCAGGTTCAAAAGTTTGCAGAGAACATAGTGCACTGGAGATGTGCTACTGAAACCCTACGTTCCATTACGAACCCAAGGGACAAATAATAAATAATCAAAATTCAATGCTAATCAAATCTCTCTTCTCGAACTCACTCATTATTTAACCTAATAGCATGAAGGCACGTTGTTGACTCCGAGTACACAGACAACATTATCCTGTTAGGCAAAGATGTCGACAAAATACAAACTTTTGAGAACTCCTTGAGCAGAAATCCGAGCATCTTTATCATGCATCTTGTACCTGTCAAATATAATTTCATACTTCAGAACGGGTCCACAACTTCTCCCATTTCAAGAATAAGTAATGAAGTGGTAGAATGTGTGGACTATTTTCCACTTCAGAAATCGCATCAATGTAAATGGGTTGTTTGTAGATGGAATCTCAGCTAGGATTCTAAAGGCCCGTTTGGCATGTGGCAACATTGTATAAATTATCTGATTATTGGTCTGGTTGTGGTCGTCGAGATGATAGGTATCAATGATTGAAAACCCCTGTAATCAAGAAATCTATTCTGAATGCTATTCTAACTAGTACCTGTATACACAATATTGGTACGTCACATTAACTCATAAATCACAGTGTAAACAGATGACGGTGAAATTTTTCTATACATGACTCTGTAAATGCTGGAGTATGATTGTGATTGTTATTCACAAGCTGGTTTTAATGAGTTCACAAAGTTCAATTGCACTCAGATGAGTTTCTGAGGCATCTGTATGTGGTAAACATTTACTCATTCAGTATTCGTAAGCGGTTCATATGAAACAAAGAATTCCTAGTAGTGGAATAAAGAACGAACCCAGAATCGGTGATTAAAGAATAATATTTAACTTTAAAATAATGATCAAAATTAACAAAAGAACTACTTGACGAATGAACTCCTGTGCTTTGTTCAAAAGCAGCTAAATAGTGATTCATCATACTTAGATATTGTAAATTTTAATAAAATTGAAAACAAATAAATGATGGCGTAATAAGCGTTACGCAAATATAAAAAAAAGTGTAGGACTGAAGCATTACAGACAAATAGTTAGTTGCATGATAGCAGTCAATAAAAAAATAACCCAAAGAGAGGTTCTTTAAGTACGTTATATACAAAAAGGGCAACTCACGTGATTATCAATTAGTTTTGGAACAACACTATTATCTAGACAGAGTGTCCACGAGCAACCTAAATAAATGATAGATTGAAAAACCTGGTAAATTCGAAGAAAACCCATTCTGAAGTTCAGTTACTGTCTATAGCTTTATACTTTCAATAAACACAGAGTGAGGATAGTTAAAGCATTCAGATAAACAATGCGCTGATAAGTGCAGCATATACAACGTCTACATCGTCGATCAGAAAGAATTGTGTACAGTGTTTCATATCTCAATGCTGATCAATTGAAAACACGGGAATAAAAACCCGACTCCTAAAAAATGTTACGATAGAGTATATAAAAAAAGCATGGATCATTCTAATGGGGAACATTTGAATGATTCGTTCTATTTGTGGAGAACTACAGAGATTAGCTGAATCCCTGGAGTCATGTATACTTTCTTAAGTGCCAATTATTGAACTGAATCAATTTTTTTCTAGCTAAAACCAAACGATTTATGAACTAACTATTCAAAGATTTTTTGCCACTGGCCCAACAAAAGGTTGGTCCGGTCAATAAAATTGTCATAAGCATATTTTAAACGTTTCAGTCTAACAGGGTGATATTACATGTATCCTCTGATTTGACAAAAAAGTTCTTTGCAAGGAGATCAATCCTGGAAAGTCAGATGAGAAGGGGAATTCCAAAACTACATTTATGAAAGTTACGAGAGGAGAAAAAATGACATTGCAACAAGACCTCACGAAAGGTAGGGGTGAGCACCGAATTCGATTGAGAAATACTATTAATAATTCAGTCTAGAGGTTTGTGGGGGTTTACTGATTTCAATGTGGTATTCAGGGATGGATACGCGCTGTTGAGGAGTTTCTAACCCACGACGAAACAGTGGTATGCAGCTTTCAGGTTTTTAATGGTCCTCCAACTGTTGTCACACCGTGATGAATACCGCATCGAAACACAGTGTCAGACGCAGATGAGTATGTCTCTACAGGTCGAACACTTCCTTAAAATGTTCAGCCTGCTATTCCAGTCGTCTTTCTTGTGAGTGAATAGATGACCTATCTTTCTTCGTTACTGTCTCACTAACCACCTTCTCTCAAAGTCAGCATAACTATCTACTATTAACTATTACCACTGCCCCTTCCATTTAATCAAACTTCGCTGCCAACTATTACTTCTGATCGGTGTATAAACCCTTTCGCAGTTTAAATTTGAGCTGCTTCCACTGTTCAATCTAATCGAAGCCTGTAAAAATTTATTCGAAACAACTCACTTATTCGGATGAAACAGTCGTTTTGTTGTACCATTTTTTTAAAGGTTAGTTAGGTCTTACTTTTTATTATTTCAGAACACCGGGAGCAAGTTTCTCCACTATTAGCAATATTACAAAGTTTCCATCAAATTTTCACCAACTAGTTCTTTATATCAACATTAACATCACCTTCAAACTGAAATTAAAACAGTCTACTGGAAGACGTCAAGTTACAATCCATTAAGGTGAGAATATAAGTGTTGAAATAAACGTGTTATCATTATGTCAGCATGCGCCCTAGAAGTAGAAATTATCAATTGACCATTTCCAACGATAACTCAGAATAACACCGTATATATGCAACAATTGTAGAGGTGAACAGGCGTCAAGGAAACAATATCAACAAAAAAACCTGGCACAAAGGCGTACTGGATCAAGTTATTTTACTTTATAGCAGAGCGCAAAGAACAAATGGGTAGAGAAAGAGTGATACCAACGTAGGAAGAACTAAATGCAGGAGACAAATTCCCAAATGTGTATAAGTAAATGTGCTCAAACTTCAGATGACGTTAAAGAGTGAATACATTTTCTGTATTATCGCTGATTTACAAGCCTTTACAGTCATTGATGCCTATCATCTGCGGGACCACAACAAGACAGTTGGCTAAGACCAACAATCAGAAAAGCTATACACTACTGCAACATCTTGGTCTGCGGAAGACGTAGATCATTAACTTAGAAACTAAACATTCAAGCAATGTCTTTTGCGTAAGAATGATAAAGATGCTCGGATTTCTGCTCAAGGAGTTCTCAAAAGTTTGTATTTTTGGCGACATCTTCGCCTAACAGGATAATATTGTCTATGTACTCTGAGTAAACAACGTGCCCTCCTGGTATCAGGTTAAATCATGAGTGAGTTCGAGAAGAGAGATTTGATTAGCATTGAATACTTGCATGAAACTCTCTTCACAACACGTCTCAATCAGCAGAACCAAATTCTACCTTTAGGTCAAGAAACACGTTAAGTGTCGTGCGCTGGTGAGCACGTTTGTGATCCGTAACCTGTCAAAGGTGAATATCTGATCGACGCATCTTGTTTCAAGTTTGAAACCTGTCTGATATTCCCCAACTTCGTTTTTCCCGCGCTCAAGTTAGGTGTTGTATATCTTCGGACCCTGAGACCTTGGACTCCATGTTAGTTGTATTGGTTCTTATGTTGCTGTCACAGGAAGACTGTTATCCTCTCTTAAGGACTACAATGATGAGGTTGAAGACAACATTCGTCTTACTACCTAAATTTTACTTTGGACTATAAAATGTTTTGCACACGCTGGTGGTAAGCGATTGCCACCATCCATTTTACCGATATGATTTCCGTAAAGATCAAATAGGTGACTATATGTTTGGTTTCGTTTTACAGTGTACGAAAAGAATGCCTATATTGTCATAAGAAACCCTAAATCCCGGAAACCTTTCACAATCAATCCTTTTGCATCGAAGTATCAGAAAAAAGCACGTGAACTGACGTCTAAGTAACAGATTGGTCGTAGAAATGAAAATCAACCGGATGTGTTATACTTATAAGGCCTAGAAATATATATATATATATATATATATATATATATATATATATATATATATATATATATATATATATATATATATGAAACCAAGGTTATATCACTTCGCAGGCCCACTAGTGCTTTAAAGCAGTGATCAGCAACGAACACATCTGAAAGCTTTGCTTTCCTTAGGAGGCTGAATAGCTTTCGGCATAACTGAAATTTCCGTTCATTTGAGCTATTGTACTTGAGTGTGTAATCGGAAATCAAATAGAGATAATGATGAGTTTAATTATGCTAATTAGCCTTGGACGTTATAATTTTTACGAATGCTTAGCGTTGAAAGCAAGAAAACTTTTTCAATAGTAAAAAAAAGCTGTTTACAAAAGGTAAGTTTAGGAACTTAAAAATTAAAAAACCTTCAACGATAAGGGATACCATTTTATATAAGATGTACGCTTAAAACTATGGCTGTCAACCAAATTATACTCGATTTATAACAAAGCAGTTAACTTTAATAAGAATTCATTTTTAAAATTTTTCAATTATTGCATAATTTGGCTTACCTAGATTATTATCAATTATAATGCCGCACAGATTAATAACCCGGTTCGTTGAATCTGCCAAAACACTAATGTTAAGGACTAGTTGAAATGCATTTTGAGTATTAGAATGCAAAAGTAATTGAAAATAGCGATTTGTTATTGATACGAGCATACAACTAAATGAATGCATACTGGTAACATGGTACAGACCTGCAGTAATAGAATGCTTTTAGAGTTTTAAAAGCTCAAAAACAGAAAGTGATAAAAAGCTTGTGGGGAAAAACTTGAAAGAATGATAAGCGAGTTATGAGATATGGAATATTTAAAAAGTGGATACCTAAAAACACTGCCTGTTTGAAAAGAGAGAAACTACAAACAACTAGTTGGTAGTTTCAACTAAATAAAAACCATACAACGAGGTGCGTCGAATTTAGGTATTACAAAAGAAATCCTATTACTACTCAATGTTACTTCTAAGCTACTTTCACAGAAATAGATAACCTACTGAGGTAAGAGAGTTTACTTGGTTATTTATACTTTCATATACACAACTGAATGGCATCAGTGGTTAAAAGTAGCTCATAATAAAACTGTTTTTCTTAGGTATTTGGAGACGATGAATGTTTCGCTCACTTTTGACCGAAAGCAAATATAGTGGAGAGTTGTTGAAATAACTGATAGCTAGTTAAACAAGTGGTGGAAAACCTTGAAGTTGAATATTATAAAAACACTTGGTATTTGAGGACAGTCTAGGAATCAGATGCAAAAAAATTTGGAATCACCAGTATGTCTCCATATGAAAATCTAAAAGCACCTATAAATACGATAACAACCCCTATTTTCATACATTAAATCTGAATGTACTACAAGCATTTATTAGGCATAGTCAAAGTATGACATAGTGTATGGAATTGCAGTCGACTTATACCAGAAGTCAACGAAGAGAAAATTGGTGATTCATTTAAAAGATGCTTCTTCATGATGATTTTCTCGCAGTGGGGAAAATAGTAAACTGATACCTTTTGGTATATGTTCAGACTTTATTTGATAGTTGAGGGTTTTGCAAACATGAAAACAAGTTTTTAAAGAAGGATTTACTGAAACAATCATTCTCATCATGAACTGATCAAAGTGGTTGTAATCAGTGGAGAATAGTCAAAATATGAGAGAAATCGCCCGAAGATATTAAGTTTCGATGACACGTTGTCCAATACCGACAAAATGTTTACATACTCATATATCAGAACACAGAAAATTGAATGAATGAAAATTAGGTAAGAATTAAAAACCACAAATGAATGGGTGACTATGAAGGAATAAGGGGTGGAATAGGTATCCATCGTACGCAAAGTACAGGATTCGTCATATGATTGATATGAGCTTCGCATACAAATACCACACCAAGACATATTATCTTTCGATAATTTGTTCCTCTTTAAATGACTTTGAATAAAATATTCTCATGTAGAGCATGGCTTGTGATGATGGCATTATCATTAGTGCGGTTTTTAATTTCTTCTGCATAAAACTTAGAACAATTTATATACATGATTTAAAAGAGGGTAGATAATCAGATATGACAGTTCATCCTTTAAACTAGCAGAGAAAATTTGGACAAAGAGACACTGATTTGTTTTGATGTCAATTTTTCAACAAGTACAGAATTGCTGCCCGAATAGATCGGTGGTAACATCACTGACTCCAATACTGGGTTATTCAGGTTCTTGGTTGCATTTTGTTCTCTGAGCTGGGTTGTTTAATCGTGATGCTTTCATAGTCTTTCTAGACGATGGACTAACTTCAGTATGAAGTTAGTGTTGATGATGTCATCCAGAAAGACGATGAAAGCTTCAAGATTAAACAACCCAGCTCAGAGAACACAATACAACCAAGACCACCCACCTGAGCTACAAATATTCTACATGATTCAGGTTCGAATCTCTCAGCGGAATATCGATTCCCTGGAAGTTGCAGATGTACCTTGCTGACGAGTGCCAACAAGTACGAAACCTATATCCGGGGATTCTTGCCAATTGCCTTCAACCAACTAACATCCGTCAAAGTACACCGTAATGGTAAGCCTGTAAGCTTGGTGGCCACATTGCAAAGATGGTTGATAGAATTCAGTCAGCACTTAGGACTAGACGGAACGAGATTGGTTGCTCTCCAGTGACCAATCAATGTACAGAATGTCTTCTGTAAAATGTTAACGACTGTATCATTTGTGAAATTTAGATGGCACCTTTACCCAAAAGCGTTTACGAGCTGAGGTTGCACACAAAGCAGTGGACTGGTAAGAAGCCCTATAAATGGAGAGATCATGACAACGGATCTTTCTTTTATTATGGGAATGAAACACACACGTGGAATTCTTTTTAAGCACATTATGATTCATTATCATAAGCAAAACTAAATGTCAAAAGGGATGAGCTTCAAAAGCATTACGAAACAATTGATGATTAATAGTTTAAAACTGACACGTATGATTGACTCTGTCATTGAAATTCATACTTCCACTAAACTGAAAATAGAACAAAATTTTGAAGACTTAAAGCAACTTTTTAGTAAAGGATACATAGTTCGATGGGAAATTGAGTTTCCAATTTAGATGACAATGCGGGAACAACTAATAAGAAATATTGTCGAGACGAAATATGGATAAAAATTTTTTTAAAGCAATTAGAACTTGTATTGATCTTAACTTTGTACAAACGAGTTCCACAGTTATGATGTACCCAAAATAACATTGAATTACCAGAGTAAGGATCATTCACAATCAGATTAAAATGTCTAATTCCAGTGAACTTTAAAGGCCACCCTAGCAACTACTGAAATAACACATCAGATTTCAGTTGTCCGGCTTTGGATAAATTAGAGACGTAATTGGTTATCTCAACAGTTGCTAGGGTGGCCTTTAAAGTCACTATTAATCCAAAAGGTTTCAGAAAATCATTGTCAAACCAGAATTGAACATCTGTACAGAGAAGTAACAACCAACTATACTGGTCATATGGTCACCAACTGGACCTATTTCGGCTGACATCCTTATAGCTCATTTTGAACATACATGTCTAGATGAGTAACTTTGAAGGCTATCCTAACAAGATTCTAACCAGGAAGCAAAATATTAGCGCATGCACGGTGATGATACTCTTATTGTCTGTGACAATACCAGTCAAACATCAGTTTGATTGAGATTTTCAACCAAGACCATTCTGACATGAATTTTACGATAGAACGCAAAAGTGAAAACGTACTCAACTTCTTGAGTTTGGGTGAATTACGTAGAAATGGTGGTATAATGGAGAAAATAATGTATGCAAGTGGTACAATCATTTTTATCCTATCAATTATTAACGAGGATAAGAACTAATGCTCTTGAATGCATGAAGAGAACTATGCTCAGGAAATTAACCGAAAGACGAATTATCTACTTATTGAGGAGGATTCTTGGGGAAAAGGATACCTTAAAACGTCCATTCTGAAGTAGGGAGAAGAATATACTGAAAAAAACTAAACGTTCGACTGTTGAGAAGAAATCGGTTTTCACTCGTTTGGCACTTCAGGGGATATTAAAAAGAAGACGGAGATTGTCTGAAATATGTAGTGTATTATCATTATACATTTCGAACAGTCTCATCACACATGAACTTCCTGAATAACTTATATAAAACTTAGGTTAATTAGGCAAGTGGCTGGCAAACTTCTTGAATCCTATCAAAAGACAAGTTTGCAAGTCTTCCTTGGAAAATACATCTGAATTTGTTGACCAATTAAATAATATCAATATCAGGGATCAGACTACATATTCTTTACCACTGACTAAGACTACTGATATTCATTGTGACATACTTTCCAGAAATCTTTTACTCCCCGCTCCCCTTATAACACTCTAAGACATTGAAATTATGTACTAATAACATTCAGTTCCAATTCGAAGGAGAATATTTTCGACAAATTGGTGTTCCCATGGTTAGGCTTTTACGTTACATTAGATTAGATAGATAGATTACATAACACAGATAGATTAGATTAGAGAGATAGGTTAGATCAGATTAGATAGATAGATTACATTAGATCGATCAAATAAATAATACTGGATAAATAGATTAGATTAGATCAGATTATACAGATAGATTAGATCAGACTAGATAATATGAGATAGATAGATCAGAATAGATTACATAGATACATTAGACAGGTAGACAGATTAGATTATATTACATAGATAGATTAGATTAGATAGATTACATTAGAGAGACATATTAGATTAGATTAGATAGCTCAGATAGATAGATTGCATTACATTAGATAGATAGATTAGATTAGATAACATGGATAGATAAGATTAGATTACATTAGCTTACATAGATAAATTAGATTGCATTAGATAGAAAGATCAGATAGATACACTAGATTAGATAGATAGATTTGATTAGATTAGACAGATAGATTAGATTGGATAGATAGATTACATTAAATTAGACAGATAGGTTAGATTACATAGACAGATTGGATTAGATAGGTTAGATAGATAAGATTAGACAGATAGATTAGATAAGATAGATTAGATTAGATCAGATTAGACGGATAGATAGATTATATTAGATAGATAGATCAGATTAGATAGATAGTTAAGATTAGAGAGAGATTAGATTAGATTGTATAGATAGATGAGATAGATAGATAAGATTAGATCGATACATTTGATTAGACAGATTAGATAAGACTAGATAGATAGATTAGATAGATTACATGGATAAAGCAGATTAGGTAGATAGATTAGATAGACAGATTAGATTACATAGAGAGATTAGACTAGATAGATAGATTTGATCAGATTAGATTTGACAGACAGTTAAGATTAGGTAGATAGAGTAGATCAGATTAGATAGACAGATTAGATTAGACTAGATAGCTCAGATAGATAGATTAGATATACAGATTAGATTAGATAGACAGATAAGATTAGATTCGATAGACAGATTGGATTATATTAGATAGATAGATCAGATCAGGTTACATAGATAGATAAGACTATATTAGATAGATAGATTAGAATAGATTATATAGATGGATTAAAATAGATTAGATAGTTAGTTTAGATAAGATAGATAGATTACACTAGATAGATAGATAAGATTAGATAGGTCAGATAGACAGATTAGATTAGATAGATTAGACTAGATTAGATAAGATAGATAGTTCAGATTAGATAGATTGGATTAGATAAGATGAGATACATTAGATAGATAGATGAGATAAGATTATATAGACAAAGATTATATTATATAGATACATGAGACAGATAGATTCCATTAGATAGATAGATTAGATAGGTAGATTAGAATAGATAGATTAAATTACATAGACACATAAGATTATATTAGGTATATAGATCAGATCAGATGAGATAGAGAGATTAGATAAGACAGATAGATTAGATAAGATTGGATAAATAGATGAGATTAGATAGATAGATAAGATTCGATAGATAGGTTAGATAGATACATTAGATTAGATATATAGATTAAACTAGATTCGATAGATTAGATAAGAGAGATAGATACATTAGATTAGATCAGATTAGATACATAGATTAGACAGATAGATAAGATTATATTGGATTGCATAGATAGAGAGATCAGATTAGATAGATTAGATTACATTAGATATATCAGATAGGTAGATTAGATAGATACATAGATTAGACAAGATTAGATTGGACAGATAGATTAGATTAGATGGATAAATCAGGTTCGATAAGATTAGATAAATGGATTGGATTAGATTAGATTAGAGAGATAGATTAGATAAGATTACATTACATAAACAGATGAGATAGATCAGATTAGGCAGATAGATCAGATTAGATTGGATAGATAGACAGATTGGATTATATTGGACAGATAGATTACTTTAGATTACACAGATAGGTTAGATTAGGTTAAATAGATAGATTCGATACATAAGATTTGATATACAGATTAGATTAGATTCGATAGATAGGATTAGAGAGATAGATAGATAAGACTAGATTAGATAGACAGATTGGATTATATTAGATAGAAAGATTAGACTACATAGATAGATTAGACACACTAGATTACTTTAGATTACAGAGATAGATCGATTACAATGGATAGATATATCAGATACATAGAATAGATTAGATAGACAGATTAGATAGATAGATTAGATAGACATATTACATAGATAGATTAGATAGATAGATTACATATATCGATTAGACAGATAGATAGATTAGATAGATTAGATAGATTAGATAGATTAGATAGATTAGATAGATTAGATAGATTAGATAGATTAGATAGATTAGATAGATTAGATAGATTAGATAGATTAGATAGATTAGATAGATTAGATAGATTAGATAGATTAGATAGATTAGATAGATTAGATAGATTAGATAGATTAGATAGATTAGATAGATTAGATAGATTAGATAGATTAGATAGATTAGATAGATTAGATAGATTAGATAGATTAGATAGATTAGATAGATTAGATAGATTAGATAGATTAGATAGATTAGATAGATTAGATAGATTAGATAGATTAGATAGATTAGATAGATTAGATAGATTAGATAGATTAGATAGATTAGATAGATTAGATAGATTAGATAGATTAGATAGATTAGATAGATTAGATAGATTAGATAGATTAGATAGATTAGATAGATTAGATAGATTAGATAGATTAGATAGATAGATAGATAGATAGATAGATAGATAGATAGATAGATAGATAGATAGATAGATAGATAGATAGATAGATAGATAGATAGATAGATAGATAGATAGATAGATAGATAGATAGATAGATAGATAGATAGATAGATAGATAGATAGATAGATAGATAGATAGATAGATAGATAGATAGATAGATAGATAGATAGATAGATAGATAGATAGATAGATAGATAGATAGATTAGATAGATAGATAGATAGATAGATAGATAGATAGATAGATAGATAGATAGATAGATAGATAGATAGATAGATAGATAGATAGATAGATAGATAGATAGATAGATAGATAGATAGATAGATAGATAGATAGATAGATAGATAGATAGATAGATAGATAGATAGATAGATAGATAGATAGATAGATAGATAGATAGATAAGATAGATAGATAGATAGATAGATAGATAGATAGATAGATAGATAGATAGATAGATAGATTAGATAGATAGATAGATAGATAGATAGATAGATAGATAGATAGATAGATAGATAGATAGATAGATAGATAGATAGATAGATAGATAGATAGATAGATAGATAGATAGATAGATAGATAGATAGATAGATAGATAGATAGATAGATAGATAGATAGATAGATAGATAGATAGATAGATAGATAGATAGATAGATAGATAGATAGATAGATAGATAGATAGATAGATAGATAGATAGATAGATAGATAGATAGATAGATAGATAGATAGATAGATAGATAGATAGATAGATAGATAGATAGATAGATAGATAGATAGATAGATAGATAGATAGATAGATAGATAGATAGATAGATAGATAGATAGATAGATAGATAGATAGATAGATAGATAGATAGATAGATAGATAGATAGATAGATAGATAGATAGATAGATAGATAGATAGATAGATAGATAGATAGATAGATAGATAGATAGATAGATAGATAGATAGATAGATAGATAGATAGATAGATAGATAGATAGATAGATAGATAGATAGATAGATAGATAGATAGATAGATAGATAGATAGATAGATAGATAGATAGATAGATAGATAGATAGATAGATAGATAGATAGATAGATAGATAGATAGATAGATAGATAGATAGATAGATAGATAGATAGATAGATAGATAGATAGATAGATAGATAGATAGATAGATAGATAGATAGATAGATAGATAGATAGATAGATAGATAGATAGATAGATAGATAGATAGATAGATAGATAGATAGATAGATAGATAGATAGATAGATAGATAGATAGATAGATAGATAGATAGATAGATAGATAGATAGATAGATAGATAGATAGATAGATAGATAGATAGATAGATAGATAGATAGATAGATAGATAGATAGATAGATAGATAGATAGATAGATAGATAGATAGATAGATAGATAGATAGATAGATAGATAGATAGATAGATAGATAGATAGATAGATAGATAGATAGATAGATAGATAGATAGATAGATAGATAGATAGATAGATAGATAGATAGATAGATAGATAGATAGATAGATAGATAGATAGATAGATAGATAGATAGATAGATAGATAGATAGATAGATAGATAGATAGATAGATAGATAGATAGATAGATAGATAGATAGATAGATAGATAGATAGATAGATAGATAGATAGATAGATAGATAGATAGATAGATAGAAGGTGAACTGATAAGAAGATTCCCTTCCTCCAGGATGGATATCAGTTTACGCAACTGTGTTCGGTGAGTTGATGTACAGGAGGTAAACATCCTTTTCATGTGATTTCCAATTTTATTTACCAATTTTCATGCATTTGTGGAAGCATGTATATGGTAAGGACCGAAAGCAGGGCATCTACTCGACTTAATGAATATGTTCCAAGAAATTGACGTTTGAAACGGAGTAAAATTCTTACAAGTGAAATATCTGGATGTCTGATGAAAGCCCGAGATCATTTCGATATATCTGATTCCTGTAGGATAACAATGTAAAAATGTCAGCTAAAAAAGGTTGCAATGGTGACCTCATGGTCAGTATAGTTGGTTGCTGCTCCTCCACGACTCTTGCAATCAGATATTTTAAACCTAACTTTCCCAAGCAGATAGAAATTGTGATTCGTCTTTGGTTACTTTACATCTTCCTCTCTATCTAATTAATTCTGATCATATTCACTTTGGTGATTTCTGATCATTCCTGTATTTACTTAGTTTTTCAATTGTTTAGTAACTCCCTTCCCTTGAATCTTTGTTAGTTTGACTCTATTTCTTTTCTTAAACATCTTGACTTATCGTTCTGGTCATACGTAAATTATGTCTGTTGCCCCCCTGTCTCCCCCAATCAATCTCTGCATGTCATCGTCAAAGTTTAAAATATCTTTTCTTGCTTTCAACACAACTAAATTTTGCTGTAATTCTAGATTACATGAAGCTGATGAATATCCGTGAGATATAGTGACGTCGTCTTATTCTGTGGATCTGTTCACTCTTATTTTGCACAAAAGGTAACGAAATGTATGAAATACTGAGTCATGTCGCCCGTTCGAGTTCCATCTAACTATTGGTGTACCGAGATTTATCTCACTAACACAGTGTAATCGTTCAAATCGTCTGGCGTTACTGTGAGTGGTTTGCGATTGTCTGCTATTCATTGCTACATAGCACGCAATTTCTTCACGCGCAATCTTGAGGCAATCATCATTATCAAGCTGAATAGACTTTGTGGCTAAAAACATTAGTTTTCAATGATAACCGAAGTAGAATTTTGCAGTCTCTTCGTACCTAGTTACATCATTTCAAGCTTAAACTATGGCACTTGCGGAAGAATGTTTCTTCTGAATTAAGTGTGTGATAAACTATACTAAGGGTATATTTGCAAATATTAAGGCATACAACTTCATCCCATAAACAATCTAATAGCGATTCGGAGAATACGTACAACTCATCCATTGAAGTTTTTTTTTTCATCATACATTCAAATGAGCAAAACAGACTTACTTTTAGTAGAAAGGTTGAATGGTGCGGTTAACATGTCACACAAAATTGGTTTGTGGTGTTAACGTTATTATGCATAGTACCCATAAGAGCAATATCATAAACTGAAGAGACCTAGTTGAAAAATAAGTTTTTGATGATGAGAAAATGATAAAACATCGGGTGTCAATGTATGACAGTCCCAAAAATTGATAATAACTCAGGTGTTAGCGTACATACATATTAAGTTAGTTGTATTTCCTCGTTTGCAAAAAGAGAAACCCGAAAACATCGGTAACTCATTATCAGAATGACTTTTCGCAATGCTTCGGGTGCTAGAACGGCGCAACTGATTGCAACTTAACAGTAGGATTCCTACCTATACAATGCAGATAATATATTAGGATCACGAGATGTGATACATCGGACATCATTTCCCGTATCAAGAACAGGAGTAGAAAAAGGTTCTACATAAACTATGTAGTTGCAAGTTATAACAATCGACGTTATTGATAAAGCAGCATTGGAGTATATGAACAACCATCTAAATGAAGATCAAGTCTCGGCCAGTTACAACCCCTTTGAATGGATTTAATCATCGAGAGCAGGATAATAATCTGCATTATCATGTCATAAAAAAGAGTTCTTTGCTCCATGGTTTATCAATAATGATATATGTGGCCACAGTCCCGAATAATTATGATGTTGAAACTTTCACAATTGATCATTTTCTTTCTTAGAAAGGATTGTAACAGATGCCATAGCAGTTAGTTTGAGTTCACAAAGAGTTACTCTATGTATTTTGCTCAGGACATAACCATTTAAGGACTCCATATTCTATATAGTGATGAATCTACGACAGTCGCCATAAGAATATTGACGACATAAAGATTATAAGGGGATGATTGCGAAATGTCCTCTGTTTAGCGGTACCTGGTGGTGCAATCCATGATGCAAGTTCCGTTTTCTTTGAGAATGGCGAACTGAATGTGCTTGCATTCTAGTAATGGTATTTGTATTATTATCACATTATTACTACAACATAAACTAGGTACATCATGGGCATCAAAAAATGCGTCATATAAGGTTACAAAACAACACTATGAAGAAATCGAAAACGGGAGAGAGAAAATGGAAAAAAAACAAATAAACAGAAATAAGTTACTAAACAAGTAGTCTCAAAGATACATCCAAAGCAATAACTTCTTTCGTTTCGCTTTTCAGAAATAAAAGCAATAAAATAGCAGCACAATCACTACTGGTTTCGATTTTGGGCCATGTTTGCCACTGTCACAAGTCGATGAGTTAATGGAGCCCATTCAGAGAGTCCTGAGGCACCCTACAGATGCTAATCTAACACATTTACCCTTCAACCCACGGTGCTTAGTTTTACGCCGGCCACCTATCCGCTTCTTTAAATCAGCCTCAGGGTACGCGGACAGTGAGCGGTGTGGGAGCCGCTAAGAAATACGTAATCCATGTCCAAGCCAGTGTTTCGAGAAAATCACACTCAAGAAATGATGAGCTTCAGTACGTCTAAAAACACGCCATTTACCTTAGAATCAGTTAATTAGCGTTCCCACCGGATGCGAGCGACTCCATGGCGAAAAAGGTGAACGAAAACACAGAAATGCTGAGGACCCTATTCTTGGAGAGGTCGGATTTCAATGTCATAGGCGGAGATGCCCATATCGAAGTGTTGTATACCCAACCTTTTACAGCAAGGTTAATGTCATGACCGCGCCAAAGGTTACCCCAGTTGAGTATGCCTTTTGATGTATGGTTAGAAACCTTGTCAGTCATACTTCCGTCAGCACCCACGAAACTACCCATATACAAGCACTTTTCGAAAAATTTCAGTAACTGCCAACAAGAGTGAGTGGAGTCACAGGCTACTACTAACTTCATGAAAGCACTTTGAACTTTGATGATGCAAAGCACCTACACTATACCCACGGACATCGATCGCTAATGTACTGAGTGCGATTTGAGTAGTCCGTATGTTGTCGCACAGAAAAACGATATCGTTCGCATACTCCACGACGAAAAGTTTTTCATCTGGTAACAGGTTTACACCGACATCATGTACTTCCTTCAAGGTTGAATCAGGAATGCCATCGTTTACAGACAATTCGAAAGTATAGTCCAGTTTAAAAAACCGAAATTCTAACGCTGAAGAATAAAACAATCACTGGCTTGCAATATGTATGACGGTGTTTGACCTTCTGATGATGAACACGTGATTAATATATCCACGATTTGAACGAAACTTGGCTTGGACATCATGGGTCAGTCTCTTACACATTTCCCACGGTCTCCCAAGTATGGTAGCACCCAGAACTTTAGACGCTATTGGTAGTGGACTGATACTCCAGTGACTGTCATATACATTACCTAGACCCTTTCTAAAGATGTATACAACAAAGGCTTTGTTCCATAGTGATGGAACACTCTCAGTCTATCATACCTCAAATAATGCAATCAGTCCCCAGACTACAATCTCACCTTCATGCTTGAAAAGAACCAGGGGTAGGTTGTCTGGGTCGGGTAACACATGCTGCTTTAGAATCTGGAGTTTCTTATGAAACTCCGCTTCTCGAGGTGAACTAGTGTTAATTAACCATGGATTAAGAGAGATAGAATCATTCAGCAACTTTGTGCAAATCTGTGCTGTAAGCAATGAGCCACACCTACCATGTGAAGACGAATAATACTACCTGGCTGTCCAAACCTCGGGAGATGGAGCAGTGCTTGAACTCATGACCCACTGGTTGAAAGTTAATTACTTAGACCAATGAGCCACAGTCCCACATGATCATGGAGTACAAGAAAATGAAGTTGATGTCGTTGGAGAAGTAGGCTAGCTGAACTGCTTTTTCAATTGGTCTGCCTAGCATTCTAGGCGTCTACAGAAGTTAGTGACCGGCGTACCATTTACTTTACAAACCATCTAACTGGTGCCAGTCACTAGGGTGAGCTGAAACAGCTTCCGACTATTGCCAAATGCAGGCGCTGCTTACATCAAAAGTGCGTTCTGACAGCCAGGCATTGCGGCACTTATGCAAATGCTGTTTAGTTTTTAAGGAATTTACGCACACCATTGTAAACACTGCCAACCAGAGTAAGTAAATGAGTGTCAAGAAGTTGAAACGAGCCAGAAAAGACCAGGTTTTTATCAGGAAGAAATTCTTCAGAACCAATGACAGTTTTACTGGCCGTTTGCATTGCATCTTGTAAGTGAAGCCAAAATTTGTCAAGCGCTCCTGTTAGAGTCCACTCATTGAATAGTAGAGCACTGGAGCTAACCAGCTTAAGCGATGCTCGCGGTTTCAGAATAGTTGAATCATACTGCGCTGAAAACAGCTTCCTAAAAGCGACTGTTTAGCGACTCAAAACGATGCAGATAATCAAGGATTTCAGCAAGCAACAAGCAGCTGAGTGAAACGTAGATGCATACAAAGATAAAGTTGAAAACAACAACGAAAATTTAGTAAAGATCATAAAGAAAACTAAGGATAATATAGGGATTAATAAAATGATTGAGCAGACAGTTCGTTGCACCATGAATTTTGATTACTGAGGGAAGATCTGGTCAGCGCTGACAGACGTCACTAAGTAATGCTTAAAAAGCCTTTTTGAACTTTAGAATTAGGTAGCGAAAAGTTAAAAAGGTTTGCACTGAATGAAAAAAAGATACAGTTCATCGTGATACACTTCAAAGTTTGCATTATCCTGGGAATTATAAAAATAATTAAGTCAATGTAACTTCCGAAAAAACAAAGTAACTTTGGATAAACAACAAGAAAGGAAGCAACGAAAAGGGTTGATAAAACTCAAGTTTGCTATTCGCCTACTCTTCCAGTGGTACAAGTACCTTGAACAAAATACTATAAGGACTACTGCTCATGTTCATGACACCATTTTCTTTTAATTTCCGCTACACTTGATCGAAGGGCTTTCGAGTATCAAAGCAATTTTCTACGACAGTGACAGAAAAACAAATATGACAACGTTTGCTCTCCTCTTCCCGATAAGGCTGAGCAACTGTTTATTCGACACAAAAGATACTGCTACTCACGCAGTAGTTGGTAGACAGAAAACACATCAACTGCAAAAAAATGTAATTGAAAGATCTAAGGTAACCTTGAAAGTCAGTATTAAGATCCCAATTTATACCATGAGAATATTATTCTAAGTACCACCTTACTCGGAAATTCGACAGAAATTATCATTACGTTTGCAGTATTCCTTTCTTGTGCCTCCTTTTGCTTGGAGGTAAGATACATGTTTTGGTTCAAAAAATGGGGTTATATCTCATAACACTCCTGCCCAAAACGGTTGATACCACTTTTGTGCGACCATATCAACCTCATTGAAAATTGGGAGGTCAGTTTATGCTACTTCAACAAATCCACGCCTTAGTGAAGAAGCAACATGGATAATGCCCAGGTTATACATATCTATGTTAATTCGCGCAAAAAAAAATCTCAGAAATGGCGTATTCACCTTCATCTACATGAAACAATTCATCTAACAAGATGAAATCCCATCTCTCCACTGGGAAATAAGAGTGAGTAGAAAACCAGCGTATCTACACCCAAGAGATAAATTTGTGGGAGATGTATATACGGTTGATCTGGACGAAAGCGATAGTTTACCAAGTAGACGCCTATGATATATGAGATAGGTTTTATGCGACAATTTATTACAACTTAATGAACTGATTAACCGGAACGATATACAATAGATTATAATTAGAAATATGAAGATATACACGAACCTTCTTATTTTGGTAGTGTACCATGAATAAGTCATCCAATACACTAAACGATACACAATCTTCAGAATCCAAAAGTACAACATGTGTCAATGAAACAGGATTCTCCCTAAAATAAAATAAAATGGATTGTCCGACCCAGATAGAAAGAAACTTACATATCTAGTGAATAGAAACAGACAGTTCGAGTTAGACGTCGATTGTTATTCAGACTTAAGTAGCGAAGAGTACAAAAATACAAATTGCCGTACCTACAAAAATTAGAAGAGTTTAGAAGTAGCAACCTACAGCAAAGCTAAAAAGCTGTGTCTGTGTTCGAGCGATGTTGCAACACCATTCATATCCTTTGTCTCAGACAGTTGAAACTTTGGTCCTTTTGAGATTGTGCCTGATGTCTGTGATGTGAAAAGAGAAATCTAAGGTCATATATATATATATATATATATATATATATATATATATATATATATATATGAAAATGTACTTTTTGATCATTTCCCTGAAGAAGCTTGGACCAGACTTCCGTGAGAAACGTTAGTATTATTTCATTTTAAATACGGACTTATACAAATAAGTTTTATATTTGTTCTCTGAGCACATCATGTGGTATCTCGGGATTTTCTGCAAAAGAAATGCATATTCATACAAAAAATACCTAATTATTCAGAGATCCCAGTTTAGCACCTACCTGCAATATTTTATATGCGTGATTCAAAAAACCATGATAAGAAACTAATCTTGCTCCATTAAGCCGATCATGAATTTGATTTACAAAAAAGGATACTAGTCTATCCTTACAACCACACACTGTGTACTGCATTATTACTTGTTGAACTGAACGGAATACTTCACAAGTATTGGTGAGTTGGGACCGATCAACAGGAAGCGCTAGGCCTAGGTTTCGTGCTTGTTGGCGCTCATCAGTAAAATGTATCTGCAGCCCCTAAGAAACTGATGTCTCCTATGAGATTCCAACTACACTTAGGATACACCGATGCTAAGGAAGAGAAAATCAAAGCATTGGAACTTTTAACCCCATTGTTGAGTGATTCCTTTAAATGAATGCTATCTGTCTTTCATTATCAAAGATTATCTCCAATACAACAGACTAGCGTACTCTGAAGGTTCGTCACTCAAGTTACTAACAGTGATCTTCAGTACAATAGAAAAGACAACCAGAAAAACAGGGACGAGTAGATTTGCAGCATAATTTCATTTCATAGACCCACGGAATCTAAGTAATATCTTCAACGACAATGATCATTAGAAGAATGACAGCATATAGCACTTTTTAGCTACATAAGTTCAAGATATAACACAGACATCTATAGATTTCAACTTGAGTTGGTTTCAATCTTACGGACATAAATTCTTTCAAATACTACTTAACCACTTAGCACTAGGTGTGCAATTTTTGCATACTTTTCTCCCCAACAACTGTGCAAACTTCATCTGATACCAGTAAGTAGGCAATGACATTCAGGTATAGTTCGTAACTTCTACTTGCAATATGTTTTGGATTCCCCAGCTTATGACTACAGGGTTAATAATGTTTTTACGGTAAAAGCATTTCATATTTTTACTATCCTAATAAACAATCAAATAATATCACTGCTTTCTGCACATTTACAATTCACTTTGTCGAAACATACATACAGAAACAAATAGAAGGTATTGATAAACGCAACTTTGATTGGAGCATTTTAGGGCTGAATTTTAAAAAGTAAAACAAAAGATGGAACCAGAAGACAACACCCATAAGCTTTTCCACAGATACAACATTCTTTCTTGACTTACCTTTAGATTAAAAACGTGTAAGCTTTCTTCTGAACCAAAAGTGAGACAAATACGAGTATCGACATTCCATAAGAACCAATTTGTGTTTAGGGGTAAGCATTTATTCAAGCGCACTGTATTCTTTTCAGCCAAAACCTTGTCAATTATAGAATTAATGATTATTTACTTCATTTACGGAAATTAGACATAAAATGAGGGCTTAGTGAGGCAGTTTATAAGTTTCTGGAAAAGGTAAGGCAAATGTTCATTCAAATAAATGCTACTAATTTAATAACCATAGGAGCATAACTTTAGACGATTCCCACCAAAAACACAAGTTATCAAAAGACTAGAATGCAAGGCATACTAATATCCAAATGTGAGGTGTTAGTTATTGGCTCAGTATTGAAGAAGTGCAAGAGTATACACTTTGTTGATTGTGACAATCTTGAGGTTCTGTATCTCAGGGAGATACCAACATTGCTGTTATTCAAAAAGTAACCGGAATGATATACGAGAGAAGTGAGAAAACACATGGATTTGGGAACATTTATCGTTGATAATTTTAAAACCCGAACACCAGGATGCGACATAATTCGATATCGGAAACTCGGTCGTTAGCTGATACTTTCCAACTGATAGCTGCTGTATTGACGTGTTGGTCAGACTTGCATATCACAATGACTCAACGACCTACGCTAACTGCAATGCTTGTTACTTGGGGTCTCACCATACTAGAAAGAGCTGCTGGATAGCAGTAAAACAAAAAGTAGTTACCGTCATGGCGCAAACCGCTGAGCTATTGATGAGGGATGAGTGATGAAGTCGTACTGTTAACTGAATGATGGTGTGACAAAAGCAGTGCGTTTCCGCAGATGGCCAATAATAACCAACTGGTGTATGTCTAAGAATAGAGAGAGAGGTTAGGAAATGTGGGACCTAAACATAGAAAAGTTCCGCCAAACTTGTGGTCTTCCATGCCAACAACAAGCGTTTACAGCTAGGGGCAAATCACAGCAAAAAACGCGAATTTCAAAAATTACTATTTAGGACTGGCCTCAGTTAGATATCCCACGAGCTGAGGTCCCATCTGAATGGCCCCAATCACTGACCGTCTCAGTCTTCAAGAAAGAGGAGGAATCCTCTTAAGAAAGCCATAGAAGAATTAGTCTGACGAATATGGTGTCTAAGATATTAGTATCCGCGACTATTGGACGACTAAGTAAAGCTTGGGAATAGAGAATGCCAGAAAACCACTCATGCCTCAGACCTAGCAGTGTGAGTATCGACCAGATATTCACCATATCCCGAGTTCTGCAGGAAAGTGGGATAGTCGGTGTGCTCCAAGCAATTATGAGCACATTCGTAGAGTAAGCAATGAGCCACGCCTTTTGTGTGAGGACTAGTGGTACTACCTGCTTATCAAACCTCGGTAAATGGAACAGCGTTTGAGCCCGTTACCCACTGGTTGCAAGTGAATCGACTAGACCGAAGAGCCACAACTTCACACACGCACACTTACCGATGCCCAATACTAGCTGTATTCCTCAACCTGAAAGTGGCACTCCATCTTGTCGATCGAGAAGTCTTATGAAAATATCTCTCACTTAAAGGGGTGCCGACTAAGCAGATCCTTTTGTTGAAAGCTGTGTAATCAAACACCTGTGGGTATTTTAGAGTCAGTGGTGAGTTATCAGGTGGACTATGTACGTCTAGTGGTGTCCATCAATGATTTCTTCTCTCTCCATTTTTATGCAACTTTATCACAGACATTCTTCTGGAAGCCTACCTTTCGTCATCAGGCTTCACATGTATTGATCTTATCAAAGAAGAATCCTAAGTAGACTTAAAGTAAGCAGATAGGGACACAAACACGTTGAAGACTTCTGGAGACTTTCAGTGGCAATTTAAAGATGTTTCTGATAGCGCCTTTCGACAAACAAATGTAAATTGTGGTTCAAAGATGGATCATCAGTGGTGTCTTGTTTTTAAAAAAAAGGTTAAATGGTTGAGCGTGTTGACCCCTTGACTTACTTGGGAAATTGGATCAGCCCTAGTGGGTCAGTGTTTGATGTTATCTCCTAACAGGTGCTGGATTGGCAACGGTAATCATCCCACCGACTGTCTTCAACGATAACCCATACTAATATAGTTTATCTGCGTTCAGGTTGGTCGACATCATTTCGGCTAGTGTGTATCTTTAGGTTTGAAGTTGGCTATGTGGACAAAGTTGCATCACGCGAGTGCCATTTTCTGTTCGTTAGGTTGGGATTCCCAAAGTGCCGCCTAGGTGCCTTTCTGCCTGACTTAGTCTAGCCACTTGAGCAGTGAAACCATCTGCAACGAAAACCATGCCTGAACGTTTGACTTACAGTAAGAGACTGGATAGTTCTCGTTAAAACTCATCTTTCAATTCATCCGAGCTGCAGTCAGTGGATTTATGCGTCAGCAAAGACCGCAAAGAGACAACCGCAAGTTTCACTTTTCCTCTTAGTCCTCACTGTGTCGTTCGGTCGAACAGCGTACGCGCAACTGTCAACTGGTATCCAATCGCGCAGTGCACCAATGTGTAGTTTGGAGTGCAGTTTACAGAGAACAAAAATCCTATTCCATGAACTCATGCCGTTATGTAGATATGTGTGGGTGGAACAAATTAAACGTCGTGTAGGAATGTTGACCAAGAAAGGTGAAGGAAGACTAGAACGCGTGGACATGGAAGGTTGATAATGATCTGAGGGAACTTGAGTGCTGAGTGAGTGAGTTGTGAAGGTGGATGACATCCCAACTGCCCACACCGTGAAATGCTAGTACTTCTCAAGGTACCTGAAAAAGAATAGTTAGTTCATGACCGCAGGGCCCGAGAATCATCTGCTCAAGGCCGGTCGCGTATGACCCTTTTAGAAGTTTGATTTTTTGTTTCGGCTACAATAATGGACCCATATAGGTGGTGTCGTGGGATGGTGGAGTGTCACTTACGAGGCTAATCTTCCAGAACCCCATCTTCATGGGGATGGGAGCATCAGGATGGCACTGCTGGTCGTACGTGAGAAAACGCCTAATTGCTGTCGCAACCCCGTCCAGCCAGCAGTATGACCTAGCTCTCGGACCCTATCATAGCGTAGCAGTTCATACTATGACTGTAACTACTTTCTGTGGAACCTTTGGTATGGTAGGACCTTGAGGGAACAAGCATTTTACAAGAATTTCTCGCTGGGTTATTGTGATATACAAGCCTGGGAACAATATGAAATTATAAGCTGTCACTAAACACGGTATTGAAACGCGGCCTAATATGAATGTATGTACGTCATTTAAGCTCTCCTATAAAACGGATTGTGGACATATTTTAAAGTTTCCCAAAGCATTACCTGTTGTTTTAAGCCACTTTTGTTTCCAAAAAATGATTTGTCATCCCACTAAACTTACCTAGGTAAATTCAGATTTCAGTGTAGTGTTAATGTTACATTACCTCATCCTTTTTGAGATCTCCACTGTTATTTTGATCTTGATTATAGTCTACCTAAATGATGTACATTACTGTATCTACCCCACAGCCGTTTCTTAGTTTATTCACAAAATCGACAAGTACTTGTGACGTCAGATTGTTCAAAATCTGCTGCGCAAATTAAATACACATTCAAATCAATTATGTTTTCTTACTGATATTTCCAAACATTGCTCATGAGTGAAAGTTAACAAGTTAGAAATAAACCTTATAAATATATATATAACTGGTAAGTGAAATTACTTGATACAGTTCAAGCTGTTCATTACTGACGAAAAGGACTTCGTGGTTGGAACACCATACAAACCCGAGAAGTGACGCTGATTTATTCTTCGAAAAAGGAACAGATTAATTTGGGTGTAAAATACAGTTACTCTGCAAGTCTGGGAATACTGTACACCATTAGGACAGTGATTCTTAAAGTTCAGGAAATCGACAGATTGAAGACTTCGTTGTATACCAAGAATTTCGTTATCCTCAGAAAATTTGATACTCAAAATTTCACCCCGATCGTCTATACTGAAAAACGAATGATTTCAAAAATTGTTGATTATTAGTTTCAGAATGAAAACAAAGGTGGTGCATGAATGATCAAATGAATTGGATATTCTGTATCAATTTCAAACCTACTTTAAAATAGACCCTTTATCCCTCTTTCTCTCTTCACATGAAATTAGGTGCCAGACAAAACCTTTACATGCAAAATGGTGAAAACTTTAGATGGAGGAAGATCACTGAACGAAATATCGAAGTTAGTGTGTCTTTGCAAGTTGATTTATCAAGGGATGGTGAAAAATAGTGTAAGGAGAAAGTGAACCAGGGTAAACTGGGGAGATGTAAACAAAGAAGATTCAACATAGATGTTTTTGTGGGCTGTATCTTATTAATTAGGCGATAGACATCCAACCATTCAGTTATTAGTACAAACCTATCTCGATAGACAAATAGTAAAACCGGTCAAACGATCCAGTTTCTAGTCCAGTAATCCAAACTATATGATATCCCTCATTTTTTGCTTGAAGTTTTCACTGTTATGAACAGGACAGGGACCTGTAAACCAGCTGCATAAGGGTTAAACAAACCATTTCTAAGCAAAGATGTAATATGACATGTTCAAAACAAAACCCTTTCATTCCGTAATTCACGACACTAAGCTAAATAGATTTTGATTCAAAGCCTCCATCATCCACCCATAAACCATCTAAATAATTTTTCCAATGATATAAAGTTTACTGAGACCAAATTCACCGATAGCTACCAGCCGAGTTGATGATCAAGCTTACTTAAGTAGTAATCCAAAAGGAAAAGTAATACAGAATCATAGTTACTTTATACCCTAACAAATAAGTTGGGGTTTTGAAAAAGCGTGATGATAAACAACCGTTATTATCATATTAAAATACATCTAATATACGAAAAGAAATGGAAGAAGTCGTGATTTTCTGTAGAAACGACTACGACTAAACAGCGGAAATAAAATGACCTTCAAAGCAGATTCAAAACTCCTCATATATATTAAATGTGCATCAGTACGCTGTGCATAAATCAACAAAAACAGACCGGTTATAACGGGTTACCACAAACAAATATCTACGTAAAAAACCAATGCAGTGAAAGCATCCTTTCGTGAAATCTCACCAAGGTCAAAAATTAAGCTTCTAAGCAGGCAGAAAAGAATGTCACGCAGTAACTTCGTTAAAATGAGATAACTCCTAAACAACTGGACCTCCCGCGATATCACAATTACAACGAACTTTAAACATTTTAATTAGAAAAGTGTATAAGGATTTCCAGCAACAAACTACCACTTTTGCTTCATCTCTGAAATAAATCCAAGTCGAAAGCGTCACAACAACCCATTCCACCCAAAAAAAATATAAATATAGTAATTTTACGGTGAGACGAACACTGATGAAATACCGAACCGATGCCAACTGACACGAATTTATGCACCAGTAAAAACGCGACAAATATATGACGCAACTTTATCACATACGCACTTATTTCAACGATGTTTCGTTGCATGCGAAAACAGTCAAAATTGAGAATGAAAACAAAAGCGTGATGCTATATAACACTGAATACATTGAGCCAGATAAAGTTAAATTCACTTAGGCCAATAACTAATATATCTTTGTAAAGCTTTCGATAAACAAAGGTAAGACTAAAATCTAAAAACTCACTAAGTCACTTTGAGGAACCTTTATCATAGAAACATCACGTTAGCACACTTAATCCATGACAATTCATTTAAAATCAAAGTGATGTAGTATCGAGAAAATCCCCTTTCTGTTACTTGAATTGAATCAATGCACAACCCAAATACTGTTAGGACGGTGGTTGCCATAGAAGAAGAGGTAAAAAATACTTTTGTTTGAACGAAAGTTTGATCGGTCAACAGAAAAGTGATGCACACTATATGAAAGCTTATCAACTCAAATAACTCATAACACCCACCAGTACGGCTGAGTTGATAGTGGAAATTTGTCGGAACAGAAATATCGTGTTAGTTGCAGAGACGTCATAGACCTATGGTTTCCACCTGCTTTACCTTATATTCTTTAGAACACTTGATCTACCATCTTACGAAGGGAATTTACAAACATATAAACGCCTATTAATACACTACCGCTAGTTCAATAAGTTTGTTCGAATAATAAACCCTGCTCGTAATTTTACCCGCTGGCATGCAATAAAACACTTCTACACTTTTATGCTGAGGGCATATACAATCAAATAAGCGTTTAACAAACTAGATTTCTCAATTCAGATATACTATCAGCGAAAGACACTATTCCAAAGGTCTACTCAAAGGCATTGGTCAGTGCACCACAAGGTGTCTGCACAAGAAGCTCAGAATCGAAGGCATGTGGATATAATTCCTGTACATCTTACTAAAGCCAGAAATAATTTCAGAACTCAAACGTAGTCAACCAGCACATGATGGTTTGCTTTTGGTAGTCTCAAGGAATAGACATCGATTCTCAGACACATCACATTAAGCCTCACCATCACTTAATGGAACTATGAGGCATTATTTTAACCAATTTGCTGACGCAAACTCTCTTGCTAAAAATGCAGTAGATGGTGAACTGAATAGTGAATGGATAAATGTTTTCAGGGTATGCTGCCTTCAGTACACTGATAGATTAACTACACGAGTCTTTTAGTGAGGTACGCTCTTATAAGACTTCTAGTTCCGATGCTGTTAACCACTTACCATTAATTAATGATACCAACCTCGTTAATGCCGGTAGTGTTGTAACACTATGAGCAGTAGACGTAGTCAAGAAGCCATTCTACGGTGTATGAATAACCATTAACATAAATTCTCCATTTTAAAGGGGGGTGGAGCTAAGCAATGCAAACCAGTGTAGGAAAATGATTCTCTTCCAAACTGAGGCTTACCGAAAGTTTAATGCCACGTCATTTACAACAGATTTGACATTCACACCCATTGTCCCTCTTGATCTGAGGGTAAAAATCTATACATTTTTAGGAAGAGTAATCATAAGTTACATGTTTTCCCGCATCATCATAATAAACACTATTCAAAGGCCCCATAGGCTCAAAAACTGTTACTTTGGTTGATAAGTAAAAGTAATATATCGGAGGCTCAATTGGTGGCATAGTTGCGATCTTTGTGTCGTCGAAATAAAACTTCTTTGCAACCACACAGACGTTAAAGCCGAAGAATGCCTACTGACTATTGCTTCATATGAAGCAGCCAGTTACTGACCACTTTTCCTGTAGACTGAAGCAATTCTGGTGCATAAAGGCCGAGCAGAACAGTGTGTAAGAGTTTGGCGATGGTAGTCTCTTCAACCAGCAAGAGTATCTGGAAAGCAAAATCAGAAGAGAAAACAGGGAACTGATGACTTCGTTGGCACAAAGGTTCTTACGTCCAATATAAAAAGACAGTCGCTCAATTTCACCTGAAGAAATATATTTAAAACAAGGTATTCTGTAGGTTTAAACTGGAAATCGGATGGTTTCTGACACAAAATCGTTGCAGTTTCAAAGGTGGTCCACAGACTTTGTATTGTAACGAGCAGTTGTTGATAAGTTTTCGTATAGCCTGTAGATAGGTACGTTGTTGAAGGGGGTGCGCAGAGCAATGTGAGTTTAGTGGTGGCCACGAGGATCTGGGAAAGAAAAAAGGAAGAGAAGAAAGGTGAACCGACGACTCAGCAAGTACTTATGATGTACTTACATTTAATAATAAAAGATAACTGACAAACGGTAGAGCTGGACTACAAAGAGGTGAGGCAGTCTAGAAACCGAAACTCTAAGGCGAATGAATAGGCTTTCGAGTGCGTAACTCTGACTATTGAACGTGGCGGTAGGTTTGTGGGCCATTCAAACTTCAAACTTCAAGCTGTAGAATTAGTGAACGGCGGTTCTTTGGGATCTATGTCTTTCTTATTAGAATACGTTATGAGTTTGGAATGGTCACAATTATCTTCTTGGTTCCGAAAAACACGAATGGATAGAGATAAACGATTATTAATTAGTCTGGTCTCAAGGTAGTTTTACTGCACCTGATCTGCAGATGACGGAAAACTTCTCGAGTACAACCCATCGGTACCGTAGGACTCAAGGTGTGCGTCTAACCTCCTTTCAAAATTATCAAGGGATGGGGCTGTAACAACTGAAGGAAGTTCCACGGTTTACAGGCTCTAACCGCAAATGAGTTAGCCTGGTTCTTTGTATGAGCTCTCCCATGCCCCATTCTTAACGGGTGACCCCTCAGATTCCATTTCCGAGTTAAGCTTAGAAGGGATCTATTAGGATGGAGAGGATTATGGGAGATGTGGTACAACATGATCATATCCCCTCTGATCCTCCGGTATTGTACTGGACGCAGCTAAACGGTCTGGGTAAGGTTTGTGTTGTGGCCTAATCACCTTCTTTGTAGCCCTTCTCTTCACCCGTTCTAGGATGGATATGTCCTTCAAGTATGGGGACATCGCAGGTGAATTTTTCTCTAGATGAATGCGAATGTACAGAGCATACACTGTGGTGAAAAGAGGAGTTAGACCCCCAAATCTCGCGAGAGAAACCCCAAAACCCTATAGTCCTTGTTGGCTGCAAGGCGACAGTGTCGAGTTCTGAAATCTGACTCCAAATTTTAAATACGTGTCCAGATTCACTATCGCCTATTTATAATTCCCGACACTGCTGATCCACCTGCGTCAGACAGCGTAAATATCAGGAGTTAACGCGAAGTATATATCAGGATGTTGTATTAGTCAACGAGCGAGCAAAAAGTCTTTTTCAGTACAACTAAACAAAAAATGTTCAATGAGTTGTTACATATATCAACACAATACAGTGAAATAAAATGCTACATAAGTCCCTCCCCAGAATACAGATATAAGAGGGAATATCTGTGTTCGATATAAAATATTATGAGAAAGGTAAATTCATTTTGAAGATATTAAAAACATAGAAGGAATGTTAAGGATATCTATTATCAGGATGAAAACTGATTGGAAGAGTGTTTACATAAAAATGGAGTGTATGACATTCGAAACACTAAAATAACTTTACCAAAGTAATAATATATCCGGAGATAAAAAAATTAACAACCAAAATCGTATTACCTGGAACATTGTTAAGAAATAAGAGATTCGTGGTGCCCGGAAAAAAATTTTGTTTTGTGTATGCGGAAAAGTCTGACAAAATCGTGTGGTCATGTTTTCAACAAGGTAATGAGCAAAAACGATAATAATGTTACTAGGGAATTGGTTTTATGAAATGTAAATTGTCTGAAAGTAACGTCGTGGCCAACGGACTCTTCTTCCGGATCTCGTGGTTCTGCTACCGTCGCTATTATTGGGTGATTCCGATGCCGTTGTTTCTGTTTTGACGGTGGTTTTCGGTGTTTCCGGTTGCTTCACTGCGGGTTCAGACTTGGTATCCGTGACATCTGGTTCCATAAACGCTGGTTTGATTCTATCAATGCTGACCGTTTCTCGTCTACCCGAGCGTTCGACCGTGACAACTTTGTCTGATTTACTAATTACCTTGAAAGGTCCTTCATACGGGGGCTGTAAGGGTTTTCGTACGCCGTCGTGTCGGACGAAAACGTGAGTGCAGTTTGAGATGCACTGAGGTACGTAAACTTGGTTGTCTCGGTATCGTGGGGACTGAGGTCGAAGTGTGCTCATGTGTCGCCGTAGTTGTTGTACATAGTTAGTCAAGTCCGGTGGAACGTCTGTTGCCGGGTTAAAATACTCTCCTGGCAATCTTAAAGTAGTTCCATAAACTAACTCAGCAGTACAGCAGCCAATGTCCTGCTTGACACTCGAACGTATACCAAGGAGTACTAGTGGTAATTTGTCACTCCACTTGTCATCAGTCTTTACTGCCATCAGTGCTGCTTTTAGTTGTCGATGGAACCTTTCGACAATACCATTGGATGCAGGATGGTACGCAGTGGTTCTTATGCGCTTGATCCCGAGAAGTTCAGTTAACTGTTGAAATAGACTACTCTCGAACTGCGCACCTCTATCTGTGGTGATGACACTTGGGACACCAAAGTTAGAAATCCAGTGTTGGATGATATTTCTCGCTACTGTTTCGGCAGATATATCCTGCAGAGGTATTGCCACTGGCCATCTCGTGAATCGGTCTACACATGTTAAAATGTAGCTAAAACCATTTGACGGAGGTAGTGGTCCAACGATGTCAACGTGTATATGGTCAAATCTGCCATCCGGTGGGAAAATCTTCCCGTAGGTGAAAGAATATGTCTTTGCACTTTCGATCGCTGGCACGCTAAACAAGCTCTGGACCACTGTCGAAGATCTCGATTCATCTTTGGCCAGACGTATCGGTCAGTAATTAACTTCACCGTAGCTCGAATACCAGGATGTGAAATGCCATGCATCTTAGAGAAGACTAATCGTCTCATTGATAAAGGCACAAACGGGCGCGGTTTACCCTTGGATACATCACAGGTGATGGATACAGAGTCATCAAGTGTCACTTCTTCAAGACGTAATGAGGTGTTCACATTGTTTTTCAAATGTTTCAAGTCCTCATCCGTGGCCTGCAACTTTGCCATTTCTGCTAGGTCAATACGGTCACGTTCTAAGACGTTTACGTACATACGAGACAAAGCATCAGCTGCCTCATTTTTGCTGCCTTTGATATACCTTATATCTGAAGTGAATTGTGAAATAAATTCTAAATGTCGAATTTCTCGGGGCGAGTAGTTGTCATGCTTTGCATCAATTGCTTTTGTGAGTGGCTTATGGTCGGTGAATACTATAAATGAGTACCCTTCGAGCATATATCTGAAGTGCTTGATAGCCAAGTAAATCGCCAGTAGCTCTCTGCCGAATGTACTGTATCGCGATTGAGAAGCATTAAGTCGTTTCGAGAAGAAAGATAATGGTTCCCACTGACCGTGAACAAACTGTTGTAGTACTGCGCCTACCGCAACATTTGAAGCGTCTGTCATGATGGCTAGTGGTGCTTCTGAATCACGACGAGAGAGAAGAGTTTCAGAACTTAGAGCCAGCTTCAGTTTGTCAAAAGCATCATGGGCCGCTTGGGTCATGTGAAACACTTTGGCTCGTCCTTGCAATAAATCTGTCAGCGGTTGGGCTACTTCAGCACATTTAGGTATGAAACGTCGATAGAAGTTTATTAACCCCAGAAATCTTCGCAGCTTTCGAAACGAGTCTGGAACAGGATATTCTCGAATTGCATCTACTTCTTGCGGAACCGGTTTAACACCGTTGGCATTAACAATGTGACCCAAAAACTGTAGGGATTCCTTGCCAAATTCGCATTTCTGCGGATTGATTGTAATGCCATATTCACGCAGTCGTTCGAAAAGCGTCCTCAGATGTTGCAGGTGCTCTGTTTCAGATGCGCTAGCTACTATTAAGTCATCTATGTATGCACTGACGAAAGGTAAGCCATGGAGTACCTGATCTATAAATCTTTGGAATGTTTGAGCAGCATTTGTCAAACCAAACGGCATACGAATAAATTCGAATAGTCCGAAGGAGTAGTGATGGCCGTCTTAGGAACATCATTGGGTTCCACAGGAATGTGATAGTAAGCTCGCACGAGGTCAATCTTGGAAAAAATATTTACTTTTGTCATAGAGTTCATAAAATCATGTATGTGAGGAATTGGATACTTATCAGGGACCGTACGCTTATTCAACGCTCGATAATCACCGCAAGGCCGTATTTCCCCTGATGCTTTTTTAGGTACCATATGCAGGGGTGATGACCATGGGCTCTTGGAAGGGCGTATAACTCCCAACTTTAGAAGTTTATCAAATTCCTGTTTTGCTATCTGCAGCTTTTTAGGGTCTAAGCGTCGAGGTTTTGATGAGACTGGAGGACCTTTTGTAAGAATATGGTGCGTCACCGTATGTTTTGGAGAGGACTTTGAGTGAGCTCGGGAAATTCTCGCAGAAGGATATCGTACTCGGAAGTGTTGTTTATTGGAGCTACGACTAAGTTTATTGTTTTTGTCTCCGTAGCGATACCGGTGATAGAAAATTCACCATTACGGCTGACTAGTCTATGGCGACTAGAGTCGACCAATAGTTCGTAGTGTTGAAGGAAATCCATGCCAATGATAGGCGACGATATGTCAGC